TGAGGAACAGGAGGGAATGTAGCAACATGGCAACATTGCCTTGAGGTGTTTTAAACTGCCAGGAGCCGCACCTGTGGGTTCCTATCCAGCACCTGCATGTGATTCACTGTGTCACCTTAGACACCTGGAACCTCAGTCACTTTCTCATTACCAGGAAAGCTACCCACTGGTGTTTAGTAGACTATGCTAGACAATGTGATCACCAAACAATACAGCAGCTGTAGGTATTTTGTCCACTAATACAGTCAACCTGTTGACCCTGGTGTCAACATGAGCACTTCAGTAACAGTTTCCATTAGTAGGTAAGAAATACTTTAATACTCACTAGAGAAACATCCCATTTCCTTTAGGAACAAAGTTACAGATTATAATTTGTGTTATCTGTGGTCTCTGATTTTGCAAATGAACTTGAAGAAAAACTGTGCAGGTCCCTTCAACCTTTTTTACAAGCATAAGGCAGTTAAGAAATCTAAGGTGTAAAGTTCTCTATGTATCCTAATGGCACCCTTGTTTACATGCATTCTGCTCACCTAACAAGGTTTGGCTTCCATGGAGAAACACAACTGCATGAAGAATAGGAAACCTAAGGGTATACAAGCAATCAAACATGGTATTTTACAACAGTAGCTCACTGGGCTTTATTAGTGCAGACTTAATCTCGCAACTCCAGTACAACACCTAAACTGCCATTTTCTCAGTTACATACCCACATTGGCAGAGATGGAGAATTATGTTTTCCAGAAGCAAGAGGCATCACTTAGTACAGGGTGGGGTTTGGGTGAGGCTACAGGAAACGATCTGACTTTCTTCTCTCTCACACTCAACTTGGCAATGTGTACTTCTAGTGCCTTGACAGGGAAGCTGGGAAACTAGAACCAGTCAGACACAAAGGCCTGTTTCACTCTTTCTCTGGGTGAATGGGATTGCTCCAGCTCCTCAGGTACTCTTTGATGTGTGTATATATGTGTATATATGTATATATAAATGAAATAGGCTTTACCTGATGTATTCTGAATCTGGCAAGGAAGAATATGAAGAAAAAGCTTGGTCTGGTTTCTGCTCCTTGCAGTATCCAAGCAGAGTGGGATTTTCTCATCCGAAGCTCTTTCCTTTTTTTCTCTGCTGCTTTTGTTCCATTGTGTGCTCTGAAATATGAATTCAGTCTTTAGTGGGTTTATGTATTCTGGCCCTTTACCAAAAATTATAGTAAGGAATGCAGGTAAGAAAAAGTAAATGGTCATTGTTAACATTTGGTAAGAACTGAATGGAATTTCAAGACACTTCACAAGGCTGAGGTAGTTTTCTTTGCTCAAAATCATGGAGTGCTTTAAATTGAGGAGCCTCTTAGAAAGACCTCAAGAATCCTAGCCAGTAGAGAGTGATAAAATGAATTGAGTTCAGCAAAGTGATGGTTGTTATTAACTCTCTTTAGAAGTTGCTATTATTTGTTCAGTGTATTTGACCTTATGCTTGTATCTTATACTTCACTGTTACATTTGCTAGTATTTTTGTATCTTATATTTACTTGATAACTAATACAGATGATACTCATGAAGCTAGTGTGCAAAGTAAGGTTGATGGCAAAAAAATTCAAGTATCTGTACTCTTGATAAGTCTTTATCTTTCATGATAATTCATTAACTGCTGCAATAGTCAAGGCAAGGATGCCACATATGACAGGATTCATTTGTAAACCATTATCAACAGAAACCCAGTACAAATCTGACCATTCTCAGAAACGGGCTTAAGAACAAGCATGCTTTTGTATTTAAGTTTGTGCTCTTGTATTTAAGTTTACAACAGCAGTCAGGTTCCTTTTTTTTAGCCTCATCTATCTAGGTATTCATAAATCACAGGCTGGTTTGAGTTGGAAGGGACTTGAAACCTCATCCAGTTCCAACCCCTGCCACAGGCAGGGACACCTTCCACTAGAGCAGCTTGCTCCAAGCCCCATCTGACCTGCCCTTAAACACTGCTAGGGATAAGGCAGCCACAGCTTCTCTGGGCACCCTGTGCCAGCACCTCAACACCCTCACAGGGAAGAATTTCTTCCCAAGATCTCATCTCGGTCTCTCCTCTGTCAATTTAAAGCCATTCTCCTGGCTCCTTTCCCTATAGGCCCTTGTCAAAAGTCCCTCTCCAGCTTTTTTGTCGGCCCCTTTAGGCACTGGAAGCTGCTCTAAGGTCTCCCAGAAGCTTTCTCTTCTCAAGGCTGAACAAGCCCAGCTCTCTCAGTCCGCCTCCACTGGGAGGTAGTGCTCCAGCCCTCTGAGCCTCTTGGTGGCCTTTCCCTGTGTTCATCAGACTGCATCTTAAAAGCTCTGCACACACCAGCTGATTTTTGTTTCTTATGCCTTGTAAGAAAACTTAAGACTATCTCTACTCATTTTCCCCCCTCTGAATAATATACTGCCAATCTTGGAAGTTAAAGCTGTTCCGCCTTCCCTGAATCCCTGAGGGATTCATCGTAACAGTGGTTTAAATGCCAGTGCTCCCTGTTCATCAGTGGTGCCACTTCAGTAGCGTCTGCAGTAACTGAAAACTCTTCCACTTGTACAGTTGATCAAGTGACATTTGTTACTCTCTTATGAGAAACCCTTACTGAATATAACATGATTATTTACTTCTGACAGAACATTTGCCCCTTGTCTACTTAGATCTACTGGGGGATCCCCATCAGTGCAGACTGATCCTCAGCTTTCCTTAATTCTTTGGCAGTACTATGTTAGTGGTTTGCCACCTTTCCACTGCTTCCTGCTCCACTGCTGTTCTGTGCTGCTCCCTCAGCAGCACCTGCACAGTCATGTCTAAGGGTACATGAAGCTCACCATAGAATTCTCTATCTTGTTTTTATTAATTACCATTTTTCAGAGACATTTGTGATAGAATCATAGAAAGGGTTAGAAAGGACCTTAAGATCATCCAATTCCAACCCCCTTGCCATGGGCAGGGACACCTCACACTAAACCATGTCACCCAAGGCTCTGTCCAACATGGCCTTGAACACCACCAGGGATGGAGCATTCACAGCTTCCTTGGGCAACCCATTCCAGTGCCTCACCACCCTTATAGTAAAGAACTTCTTCCTTATATCCCATCTAAACTTATCGTGTTAAAGTTTTAACCCGTTACCCCTTGTCCTGTCACTACAGTCCCTAATGAAGAGTCCCTCCCCAGCATCCTTATAGGCCCCCTTCAGATACAGGAAGGCTGCTATGAGGTCTCCATGCAGCCTTCTCAGATGGATCTGTTCCACCAATTTGATGGCTTGTTTTGCTCTGGAGCTAGTTTAGAGGCTTTATAACAATGTGCTAGGGAGTTGGTTGTGCCATATTTACATTCTGACAGCTCAGCTGTTTTTCTTAAGGAAGATTTAACTCAATTTCCTAAATGTGATTAAAAGATTTGGGTAAATATTATAAGAGGCAAGACATCAGGTGAAGTAATCATAGATTCTGATGGAAACATCATTGTTTCAAAGCCAAACCCCCCTCAGAGTGCGGCTGGGGGAAGAGAGAGGGGAACACCAGAGGAAGCATTTGGAACCCAAGGGAGTTCACGTAAGTTTTGGAGTCCTGAAGCTTTTGCTGTTGCCATTTGCATTCTCTGATCGCTGTTAGAACACACTTAGAAGTGTTTTTTTACTTTGTGTTTGTATGTTAGGGTAGAAAATAGGCAGCATTGGACTGAATTGCCTTCCCTCTCCCCCTTGCCCCCTCATAAAATGTATTCCCCAGAGGAAATGTGGGCAGACCCCAGTACTAAACCGCTTAATGATCCTTTTGTGGATGTTTTCAAGCGAAGGAGTTATCATCAGGACATCACCTGTTTAAACGGGACACGTTTACTTTCCCAAACCTCAGGTTCTCTGTGGGACGGGGAAAACGATCTCGGATAGAAGATCATCCGCCGCTCCCCCTGCCGCAGCCCTCTTCCCCGCGCCGTACCACGGGCTCCCCGCTGGGCTGGCTTTGCGAACGGGCGCCCATGGCGCCGCGGCTTCAAACCCTCCACACAGCTCCCTCAGCGCCGGGCGCCCCGCCCGCCCGTGGGCAAGAGCCTACGGGGCCAATCACAAGCCACCTTTATCCCGCCCCTGTGCTGCCACGTCCAATGGAGTTTAAATGCTTCCAAACCAGCCAATCACGAGCGACGGCGACCTGGAGCCGCGACCTCGTTGCCAACGAGGGGAGGGCCGTATGGCGAGCAACGTCGTAGCGGGACCAATCAGCGTGCTCGGGGGCGCCATCGCTTGGGCGTGCGCAAACGTCCGGTGGGCGGTGCTGGCTTTGAATTGCGGCGGGTCTGGTACGAGGCGCGGTGCGCTCCGGAGCTGAGGGACCCAGCTGGGGTCTGAGCCTGGGCAGCGCCTCGGGGTGAGTGACCGACCGGTCGGTCGGGGGCTCTTCGTGGGTGTCAGGCACCCTGAGCGGGCTGGTGAGCTGCGGTGTGTCCCCATGGGGTGTTTCCTGAGGGTGGGAGTAAGGCTGGTCCTGACAGTCCGAGCTCCCCAGGCCTGGGCGGGCTCTGCCCGGCCGTCGTTCCTCTCCGCTTTTAGTTATTCTGAGGTAATTTCTTCTTTGTAAATGACTTCCGAGCTGTGCTGGTATCTCGGGGCAGTGAGCCCGTGCCGGGTCAAAATGAAGGGATGGCTTTTTGCAAAGCTTTCGGATTAAATGCCCCTGAAGTACAGCACTAATGGTTTTCTGCAATCTAGCATAAGCATAAGGTATGGAGAGAAACTTTCTGAAATACAGCAGTCAAATGCAGTTATACGAATATAAACCTGTTATTGTTAGATTGATTGATGTGAGGCTTTAGATTTTAAGCTGAATGAGAGTGTGTCAAAATAGGACTTAAAAGCTGCTGCTTGGTATGTAGGTCAGGAAGCCTATATGGTTGTGAAATACTGTGTTCTAATCACTGCTAAGGTTAAAAATGTAGTTTGCTTTAAAAGAAGGCTTGCTGAAAGGTCAATTCTGTCTTTGTGTTTCAGGCATAGCACTGTCTGTTCTGTGTTAAACAAGAATCGTGTCAGTATGAGCTGGGCTGTGGAGGAATGGAAAGAAGGCGTCTCCCCCAGAGTCCTTCAGAAGATTCAGGAGCTGGAAAGTCAAGTGGACAAGCTTAGAAAGGAGCGTCAGCAAAGACAGTTCCAGTTAGAGTCTTTGGAGGCAGCTCTGCAAAAGCAGAAGCAGAAGGTAACAGAGGCCCTGTAGTCATTCCCCTAAAATGCTGTTCTCCATGCCAAACACAACTACAAAGTTTTTATCTGGTTGTCCCTAGGGGTGGGTTAGTGTCTTGTTTCTTTCCCACTGACTGGAAATAGCAGAGAAACAGAATATAAACTACTTATATTAATTTTCATCATATTTTCCCTTCTGTTTGGTTCTCACTGATTGCTAATAGAATTCCTGCCTTCTATTTATGTTTGGCATGATTGCCCATCCCAGAATCAAAGAATATTTAGGGCTGGAAAGGACCTTAAGATCATCTAGTTCTAACCTCCCTGCCATGGGCAGGGACACCACACTCTAAACCACGTCACCCAATTCTCTGTCCAACCTGGCCTTGAACAGTGCCAGGGACGGGGCAGCCGCAGCTTCTCTGGGCAACCTGTTCCAGTGCCTCACCACCCTCCTAGTAAAGAACTTCTTCCTTATATCTAACCTGAACTTCCCCTGTTTACGTTTAAACTCATTGCCCCTTGTCCTATTGCTACAGTCCCTAATGAAGAGTCCCTCTCCAGTATCCTTGTAGGCCCCCTTCAGACACTGGAAGCTGCTCTGAAGTCTCCATGCAACTTCTCCAGGCTGACCACCCTCAACTTTCTCAGCCTATCTTCATACAGCACTTGCTTGAGCCCCCTTGTCATCCTGGTGGCCGCCTCTGGACTTGCTCCAGCAGCTTCATGTCCCCCTTATGCCGAGGGCACCAGAACTGTACACAGTGCTCCAAATGGGGTCTCACTAGAGCTGAGGGGCAGGACCACCTCCTTCGATCTGCTGGTCACACTTGTTTTGATGCAGCTTAGTATATGGTTGGCTTTCTGGGCTCAGTTGTTTATGTTTACTTTGAGGCTTTGCTACATCTTTTTATGATTAGGAAAAGTCATTTGTGCCTGTTTAAAATCTTGATACTGACTAGGCCTGTTTTATATAAGAGCTGCATAGTTGACAGCCTCTTGCTGTTCTACCTTGCCTGTAGATCCATTTCATCTTTTACTTGGTTTATGTAATTCTCAGTTGAGTGGTTTTGTTTGTTTGGCTTGGTTCTCTCCTTCCCCCTCTGCCCCCACCCCCCTGACTGTTTTTGGGTTTTCAGTTTCCTTTTTTAGGGCTGTAGTTTTATGCTTCATCTGACTATACTGTCAGCCAGGAAACCAGAGACCCTTTTGGTCAGGGTCCTGCTGTGCTTCAGATCAGAGGTGACCCATTTAGTTTCATATTGTTTTGTAACGTTTGAATACAGCTCAAATGCAAATTACAGAGGCTGCCTTTTATTCCCTTTAGGCTGATAGAACTTTCTAGCAGAACTTAATCCTTGTAGTTTTCTTAGAGTTTCTTCCTGTGAGTTTCTTCAACCATCCAGAGGAACTGCTGTGCTCCTGTAACACAAAGGGCTGTGCTCGAATAGGAGTGCTTTAAGACTTGTAAGCAGTAGTTAATACTTCTTTCAACCAGAAAAATAATGTTGTGCAAAGCTCTAGCTTGACTGTGCCTGTCCCTCAGAAGCTGTAGGGGAGGAGGATGTCTACTGCCAAGCTCTACTTCCAGTTTCAAAGCTGTGACTCTTGGTAATCATTGTGCCTTCTTTGTTTAGTCAAGGTATTCTGATTGCTGAAGTTGATAGGCTGGAAAGAGCAGAGAGTTGGTCAGTGTGGATTAGCAATCTAGTGTGGATTATTAGTATTTAAGGATTGATTAATTTTTCTATGAGCTTGTCTAGCCAATAAATAGCAATTGTTAATGTCACAGTGTTGAATTGCAGGAGATGTGGTTTTGTTCACACCCAAGAATATTTAAATGACGTGTATAGTTGAGGTTTTGGTGCTGTCAGGATTTTGAAATGCTAGGAAAAAAAAAGCAGTTTGTAAACTTTGTGTTATTAAAATAATAGAAGTGTAGAGAATAGGTGAGATCTTTTTAAAATGGTCTATATTCCAACTAGGTTGAAAATGAAAAAAATGAAGCTGCATTACTAAAAAGAGAGAACCAGAGCTTGATGGAATTGTGTGATACTCTCGAGAAAGCAAAGCAGAAAATATCACATGATCTTCAAGCAAAAGAATCTCAAATTAACATTCAGTCAGGACAGCTGAATTCCAGCAAGAAAGACATAGAAAGGCTAGAACAAGAACTGAAAAGGTAAGGATCTGCTCTGTCTCTAACCCACGTATAACAGTTATTTTCTTGTGTTTTATTCATTTAGTGTATCCTTCATGGTATTCTAGTTTCTTCTTATAATTAATTCAGACTTTGTGACTGAAGTCACAAAACATGGACCTGTTTTTACATACACACATGCACATACAGGCTTCTACATAAATCTGTCTGCCACTTGAAGCAGTTAATACCTATAGTTCCTCCTTAATTTGGGGGAATTCTGCAGTGTCATGTGAGAACTGTCTATGATCTTGAACAACAACAAAACAGCTAGCGCAGCTGAGTCACTTGACAAAGGTAAACTGCAAAGGGCTTGGAGTTGCTCAGAAAGTGCATGGACAATTCATTCTGTAAGATCAAGTCTACCAATAAAATACTACTGGAAGGAGGCATAAACATCTATTGGGAGTGGAAGAGGAAGCTGCCAAAAGCAGTGACTGAATCACTGAATCCAGTTGCTTTGGTGAAAAAGAGCTTAATTCAAAGACCTCAACTCTTAAACACTGTTATTACTGAGATAGCATGTGTGTGCTGTCTGTTGGGGATGGAATGCAAGTAATAAAAGAATCTTCTGTGATGCAGACACATCTAAAATCTTTCATCTGTGGGTGCTACGCAAATGGAACAGTTGCCCATAGTGAAGTGAATGTTATGTTAAACTTGCTCTCCTACTAGAGGCACCCTCTGTTCTTGAATAAAAGTATTTCTGAAACTTTGTGTGCATCAGTCAAGCTGAGTATTCTGTCTGTGCAATAAACTGTTGTGCTGGTACTAGTAATGCAAAAGTACTGTCACAGGGAGGGGTGTGAGAGCAGGTTTCTTAAGGGTTTGATTTAGTTGTTTTGGGAGTGTGTTTGTTTTAGTTTTATTGCTTGTTTGTGGGGGTATTGGGGGGGTGTGTGTATTTTTTTGTGTTTTTTTTTTTTTTCTTTCCTTTTATTTTGTGGCCTGAAATATGTCTACTTCCTTTAAGTTTTGGTGGAATGCCTCATTCCATCTAAATAGAAGCAAATAAAGAAGTGTGTTGATCTTTCTGGGGTTTTGTTTGATTGTTTTTTCTTTGTTTCCCTCTTCCTCCTCCCTTACCTCCCCCCTGTGCCCTTTTTGGGAAAACTAGAGATAGTTGAGGTATTTAGATATTTGACTGCTGTGATAAGATTCTGAATTTCAACATAACAATTTAACATGTAGAAGCACCAGCTTTGTGTGAGGAACTGCTAAGGTCCATCAAAGAATCTAGTGAGATTCAGCAGGGCTTAATAGAACCACCTAAGCTTCTGTATCTCATGCCAAATGTTGGGCCAGGGAAGCTGCAGGCTAAGGATGTGTGTTCCATTAATCCATTCCCCAAATTAAGTCCAGTTTAGTTGAATTCTCTCCATTACATTACTTTGTGTATCTGTCCACTACATAAGGTCATCAGTTACTACATGTAGCTTGATCTTGGCAATCATGTTCAGGTATGTTTTATGCTGGTAACTGATCCTTTACTGTTGTATAGCAATTAGCAATCCACAGGGAGGGGAGTTCTTTATGTTGTAAAAGGGAGGGGGAAATCAAAACCATTGTCTTATCAACCTGTGCATGCTGGGCAGGATGAAAGTTGCTGTATAAACTCCAAACTAGTTATCTGGTTTCACTTCACGGGCTTGTAACTCTTCATGCTCACAAGAGTCACAAGAATGGGTAGTCTGCTGTGTTGTTCTGGGCAGCAAAGTAAATAGTACATGAGAAAAATACATTGTCAGGTGGAGCGTGTTCCCTTCCCATGAGGTATGCATCGGTTTCTCAAAGTGTGCAGTATCAGAACATAGGATAAAAGTTGTATATTTCCTATCATAAAGATCCTTACTGAAGAGTAGGAGTTATATGTTATCAGTGTTTACAGTGATTTGGGTGTGTTTAGCTGGACCACAGCTTCATAAGTGAAACCTTAAGCAGTTCTGATTGTCAGCCACTCTGGGATTGGTTTTGGTTTTCAGCTTTGACTCCTATGTAATTGACTAAATATACTGAAACTGAACAAAGCATCCCTGTTTCTGCGTTACAGTACTGAATATTTTCAGTGAATGTATCTTGACTTGATCTTTAAGTTATTATAATCATAGAAATTGTGTGCTTCAGGCTCTTAAAAACAGATAATTAACCTTTTAGTTTCCGTGACTAATTTTTGTTGCTGTTTTTTTCCGAAACAGATACAAATGTGAGCTTGAGAGAAGTCAGCAAACATTGATTGCAGGAGACTTATCATTCAGTGGTGCTCCACAGAAAAGCTTTACTGCTTCTTTAACACCAGTTCAAAGTCATAATGGTAAATGACTTTTTCTTTGTCTAGCACAGATAGTTAACAGTTTTCTTGGAGGGTGGAGGAATATTTCACACACTGCATTTGTACTGAGTTGCCTAGTCCCTATTCTAAAGCTTATTATGAGAATATCTAATTCATAGCACCATAAGTTTAAAAGTGATTAGTGCAGACTGAACACTTATTGCAAATATTACATCTTTTCAGGATTATGTTGATAGACATGGAATAGTAGGAAATCCTTCAACAGACTGCAGCAAGTTTTTGAATGCCTGTTCCTAGTGTCAGCTGTTCCCTTGATGTAGTGAAGAGCAAATCTTTCTTGGGTACCACAGGTACTTTAAAGTTCAGTCAACAGTCGTGTTGTTTCTTTAGAAAATTTTATTTAGACTGCTTTTGTGCATGATGATCTGCACAATTTATGCACTGTTTCAAACCATCATTTCTGTCTTCAAATTAGTGACATCAGAGTTAAAATATTTGAATGAACTGGAAAAGTAAAGGGAAGGTTCCTTAACTGGAAAACTGTTCTGTAGCTGGACACCCTTATGCTGTATCTGCTGAAAAACTTGACAGGTTCAATATTATGCATGCTGTTTACCTCTTATCTTTGATGTGAACAAATGTTTTGTGAGTTTGGCATCTCACTTTTACTCAGGTGGGAAATCCAAGATACTTTCTTGTACTCTTGTTCCTTTTAACTTCTACTAGGGGTACAGTAGTGGCAGTGTCAGGCATTCAACTAAACGTGACACTTCTGAAATGGGGATTAGATAAAAAATTATTTAAAAGCTATTTAAAATTGTATTGCTGGAGAGGTTTTTTTTCATTTGAAAGTTGGAGTTTTACATTCCTGAAAATCCCAGGCTATCTGAAGGTCAAAGCAACCCATAAGGTTGCTCCTTACAGGGCTACCTAAAACTAAGTCATATGACTTGAGCATTGTCCTCCTTGAATAATGACAGGATTGGTGCCATGACCACTTCCCTGGGGTGCCTGTTCCAGTGTCAAGACCACCTTCTCAGTGAAGAACACTTTCCCGATGTCCAGTCTGAACTTTTCCTGATGCAGGTTCATTCTGTTTCCATTGTGTCCTGTCACTGGTCACCAGATAGAGGAAATCAGCACCTTTCTTCCACTGCTACTCCCCTCAGCCCATCCCTGTGAGGAAGTTGTAGCCTGTGATAAGATCAGCCCTGGCCTTTTCTTTCCCAAGGTGAATGAACCTCAGCTGTTCCTCAAAACTCTTGCTCTCAAAGGCCTTTCACCAATTTTGTTGCCCTTCTCTGGAAACAGCCTGATAGTTTGACGTTCTTTTACTGAGACACTCAAAACTGCACATAGTACTTGAGGTGGGACCTCGCTAATGCAGGGTAGGATGAGATTGTTGCACTCCCTCAACTGTTTCATAGAATGCTACAAAGCATTCTAGTTCTATGATATTCCTGGGAGTTGTAGACTGATACGTAAGTACAAAGAAAAGGAAGCAGGCCTTTTGTTTTGGACTAATATGCTCCTCTTACAATTCCAGTGGAAGAATCCTAAGTAAATTCATTGTCCAATTCCTGTTGCATTTGACAGGAACTTGAAGAAAAGATCCAGCCTTATTTCCTGATCATTTCTTGGTAATATTAATGTTCTTGGGCTGCTAGTAGGAAATCTTAAAAGGTAAAAATTAAAATCTGTATGTGTGTGTATATATATATATATAATGCAACACATCTATGTTATATATATACATAATGTATATATATATGCACCTGGGTCGGAGCAACCCCAGGTATCAATCCAGGCTGGGGGATGAAGGGAGTGAGAGTACCCCAAAGGAGAAGGACTTGGGCGTGCTAGTGGATGAAAGATCGGACTTGGCTTGGCAATGTGTGCTTGCAGCCCAGAAGGCCACTCATATCTTGGGCTGCACCCAGAGGAGTGTGGCCAGCAGGTCAAGGGAGGTGATTCTGCCCCTCTACTCTCGTGAGAACCCACCTGCAGTCCTGCATCCTGCTCTGGAGTCCTCAGTACAGGAAGGACATGGACCTGTTGGAGAGGGTGTACAGAGCAGGGCTAGAGCGCCTGTCCTGTGAGGAATGGCTGAGAGTTTGGGTTGTTCAGCCTGGAGAAGAGAAAACTCGGGGAAGACCTTATTGTGGCCTTTCAGTTCTTAGAAGGACCTTATAAGGAAAGATGGGAAGAGACTTTTTATCAGGGATTGTTGTGATAGGATGAGGGGTGATGATTTTAAACTAAAAGGGGAGATTTGGGCTGGACATGAGGAAAAAATTCTTCACAATGAGGTTGGTAAAGCAGGTTACCCAGAGAGGTGGTGGATGCATCATCCCTGGAGACATTCAAGGTCAGGCTGGATGTGGTTCTGGGCAACCTGATCTAGTTGAAGATGCCCCTGCTCAATGCAGGGGAGTTGGACTCGTGAGCTTTGAAGGTCCCTTTCAGCACAAACTATTCTACAATCATTCCTGTAACAGCAATTAGAAATTATTACCTATGTAATAAGTTAGATTATGAAGAAGTATTCATTGTGTCTTTGTAGATACAAAGTTTGAAGAACTGGAAGAAAAATACAAGAAAGAAGTACAAGAAAGGAAAAAGCTAGAATTAGAACTGAGAACCATCCAGGTAAAAGGAAGTATCTCTTGAAAATGGTATGTGTGATATCTAAGAAAGTAACTATTGAGTGAACTTGGAACATGGAGTGGAAAACTAGTGAAATGTATTCTACATCACTTAAAATATGATTTTAGAGAGAATTACGCTGTGTGTACTGCCATTCAGGTGTACTCTTGGAGAATCCAGAAAAGCTAACATAACTGAATAGCGAAGGAAAGAAAGACATTAAAAATGAGAACACATTCTTCAAGAAGTGGAGATCTTGTGCAAGCACAGGCAAGAGAAAATAATGTCAGTTTTGCCAAGCTAAATATAATAATAAAATAGCTTTGGAAAGATAATGAGAAATAACTCGCTTCGCAAATAAGAACTAGTAAAGTTTTCCAAACACATACAGTGGGAATTGTATGAGGGAATCTCTGAGGCCTTTAGATGACTAAGATGTGAAATCCCTCAAAGGCAAAAAAAGCCACTGTAGAAAAGCTGTAATACCTTCTTTGGTATTCACTATTTAAAGGCTCAAAAAGTTTCCTTTATTAGAGTCTTTCCTTTACTGGGGCTGAATGTGTGGCTCAGCTTCAAATTAAAAAGTCAGAAGTACTCTTAAAATGAATTGATAAAATAAATAGTAATTAAAAATCACCAAATACAGGTAATACCCATAAATTGATAAGGCACTGCAGTGTGGGACTGCTGAATCTTAGTGATGTTCTTATTTCGTTCTTCTCTTGACACTGGAAGGGGGCGAGGATGATGCCATCTAAAAAAAGGCTTATAGTGCTGATTCCTGGCAATGTAGTAATGAAGTAATGCATCTGGAAAACATAACATGAAAGATGCATACCTGGTGCACCCAGGCTTCATGATTCCAGGAAGCAATTCAGCAATTCTTGTTCTCTGAAAACTTGAGTGTTTTCTTCAGCAATGATGAAAAAGAATGTTTTAGGAAAAGACTTGAGAAGTAATGAGAAATTACTCTTTGCCCATATACAGCCAAATGGCTCTCGCATCTTGAGTATTGCAAATTCTGTTCACTCGTTTCCAAACAGATACGGTGGAAGTGGGTGGTACAAAGATCAAGTGAGGATCAAGAGATGAAACAGGGAATTGGTCATTTTCTTACTTTCCATAAGGCATAATTACAGAACCAGCTCCGCAGGCTCAGAACAAACACTGGTTTATTCCACTGTACTGTGTTAAATGGCAGACCTCTTTGTCAGAGTATTGTAAAATTGAAACAGATCCAAAAGAGAAAGGACATGTCAAGTATTTCAGTAAAAACTGATTCATTACCTGGATTCAAACTTTTGCCTCAAACTCTGTAAATTTAAATGGTATATAAGGGGAATGATGGCTCTATGCATGGTTAGGGTTTTATGCTCTTTATCATAGACAAATTACAGGATTGGATACTGGATTCTGGACTATATAGATTCCTGGTCTTAGCACAGCTATTCCTACATAACATAATCTCTGGTTGGATTGAGAAGTCACACTGGGCGTTACCTAGGTTAGGGGTTTAGTTTAATAAAAGAATAATTGAAATATTCAAATTAGAAGCATTTGAAAACCAAGCTAAAAAATACAGTGGGGATTTTACTGTTTGAGGTGGGGGTTTTTGTTTTGGCTTTGTTTTTTTTTGAGTTTGGATGATCTTTTTTTCCACTTAAGGAGAAAAAAACATCTACTATTTTAGCTGTGTTTAATTTTTCTGTAGGAAGAGGCTGAAAGCTTCTACCTGAGGTATTTTATTGCAGGTTTGGGGTATTAGGTGTGTAAAAGTCTAATTCTTGTCTGAGTTTACCTGTGTTTGTCTGGAAGAACTACATGTGGGTCAGATATCAGATATGTTAGTCTAGACTTCTATATACAGGTTTACTTGTGTCAACATTTGCCTGCAGAAATGGAGGCTTGAATTTTGAAAAACATAGAGGGTAAATGATGGGATCTTTCTTGAAAAAGGCAAAAAATTGGTTATGTTACTTATGAACAGATCAGACTTTTTTTGGAGATCCTGGTTTGGGTTACTGTAACCAGTATACTGGATACTTGGGCTAAAGTTATTTAATTTAAATAGTATAAAAGTAATGTGAAATGACCAGGAACCTATTATTTACATATCAATAATTATTTTGTTATATGCTGGATATGGAGCTGTGTAAAGGTAGATCCTTTTGTTTTTTCTTGGACACAGAAAATAAATCAGCCTCATCCTCAAAGCTCTTTGAGTCACAGGGAGATTGCTCGGCATCAGGCTTCCTCATCTGTGTTTTCATGGCAACAAGAGGAGATACCATCTAGAAATCAAGCAACACCTGCAAAGGGAAGTTCTGCAGCATCTTCTTTTCCATGGGAGAAAGAAACAAATCCTAGTGTAATATCAGAGAAGAACGAGCTCAACAGCAGCTTTGCTAATGATTGTAATTCTTCACTCGTGATCCAGCTAAGAGCACAGAACCAAGGTACCTGAAGTATTTGTTTAAAAACCACAGACAGTCTGCTATATGGTTTCATGAAATCTGGCGTGCAGATAGGAAAAGAGGCATTGGAATTAGTGCTTTAGCAAGGAAAAGATACCTGGGTTTGCCTTTGGCAGCTAGCCTAGTTGGCCACAAGTGTGTGTATCTTCAGTGATCAGCCAGTACACAGAAATTATCAACAAACTGTGATATCTTTTACATAAGGGGTCTGAGAGTTAGAAGGGAGGAGTTTGTATTTTTGGGGGTGGGCTGTCGACATCATATATAAAAGGAAAAGAGCCTTCTCCAATAATTCCATTGCTCATGGAACAATTCTGTTGAAACAGTTGATAAACCTCTTCAGGATTTCATTACATCTCACTGTTAAATTCCATTCTATCGCTTCCTTCATTTTGTATGGCTTGAGGTTTGCAGCTAAGCAATACCTGTGTTAAAAATTCATTGATTGAACATGCTAAATGCATAGCTCAGTTGGTCCATAATGGATATAACTGGAAGCACAGAAGGAAGTATGATGCAGAAAGTACAATAAAGAAGCAAGATATGATCCTGTATTGTGCATATTGACATGAAGAAATAGTTACTCCTAAGATCTTATAGTCAGAAGAGAGCAAACAGTTGGTTCGCTGTGGATTTGGTGAGCATTTACTTAAGCTTACTACTTGGACCAGCTTTTCCACTGTTTCTTGTAGGACTGTTTTACAAGTTCCCATGCTGTCCAAAATGGTTATCCAAATACCTGCATGTGAAACTTCAATTAGGTGGCATTTTCAACTTGGAAGCAAGACTTTTTTTTTTTTTTAACAAAAGAATTACCAGATAATATTACCAGATAATAGTAATTCTGGATAATGTTCCCTGTAGGTGCCTATGTTTTCTACCATAAAATTAAATTGTATTTTGGAAGGTAAACTCTTACTGATGTATATTGTGACAAGATCACTTGGTTTCACTTTATATGGATTCTGGTTTGGGACAGGAAAAAGATTGAAAGGTAAAATACTGTACTTACAGATATGCTCAGTAGCTGAAAAGCCTCTTGGAAGGAGAAGACCCAAACAAATAACTCTAGTAGATATCTTTCCTTTTAAGAAGCAAAAAAATTAAAGCAGCTTTGATAAGTGACATATTTCTGTGTGTTTAGAAACAACAAAGACAAACCAGCATAGGAATGAATTGACTTTGCCTTTGCAGCATTTGTGCCTGATGTCACGATTTGCTGTGTTCAAATATATCACAAAGTGGAAATTATTTAAAGTCAACTATCCTTCAGTCTCGATAGGTTTAATCACTGATATAGTAGTACAAGAGAGTTTTGTTTTAGCTTGCTGAACATTTTACAGGGTGTTTGTCTGTGTCAGGGACTTGAGTTGTTATCAAACATACTGCATATTTTATAATGTGTGGACACTTGGAAATTTGAGTACCAGGATGGGAGGTGTAGCTTTCAAAGCAGCAAGTACCCTTAATCCTTACTGTTTTTAAATTTCAGAGCTAAATTCCACTGTTAAGGACCTAGAACAACAACTGCAAGCTCAAGAAAAAATGAGGAAATCCCATATGAATAAACATCAAGAAACTGAACTGCAGCTGGTCAGAATGAAGTTGGAATTAACAGAGAAGGATAAGGCTCTGAACAAAACCAGAGATAAACTGACTCAAACGAGAACACAACTTGATCAAGCTACCACACAGGTAAAAAGTTTCATCACACATCTTTGGACTGTCCTTACAATTCATTCCCAGTGTTAATGTGTGTCAATTTGCAGCCATTTTAGTGAGAATCAAGATTCTCAGGTGAGTTTCATGAGTATTTGCTGAGGACCAAGTTTTGAGTTTCTGTTGGTTTGATATGTGTTACCTGTAACAATGGAAATACTCATAAAGCGGTCGCCCATTTTCTGGAAGGTTCTTATACCACCTGAAGAGTAATTTTTCATCCTCAGGCAAGATTCATTGGAATTCTGAAAAACAGAGCATGGAATTCTGTTGCATAGAGCAACAATGACATCTGGTGGCAATTTCTGACCTTAAATAGACTCTGTCATGCAACTTTGGCTGAAAATCGGTATGCTGCTTATACTACTGGATGTTGTGGGGTATGGGGGCATAGCTTTGGCTTCTAAACTGCATGTGTAAAATAAAAACTAGGTAAAAATACCATGCAAGGTTCAGAATACGTAGTTTCTAAGTGAGATTTCATGGGTTTTAATCCTAAGGAGCTTGGATTCATAGTATAAAACCAACAGCGTAGTTCAACTGGCTTAGTCAAGTATTTACAGAGTGTATTTAAGTACATACATAAAAAATATGAAGTGGTTCAGGTTTTTGCTCATACTCATATGAAGTGAATGCCAGTGTTTAAAGTAATTTAGTTCAAACTGTAGAAGGTAAAAAGTAAGAAGTTACCTTTTTTCTTGATTGCATCACTTTCCTGAAGTCCTTTTTCACAGCATTTGAACATGCTTGTAAGTAGCGCAGAGATTCATAATTCCTGAATCTTCCTATTTCCATCTATATTTGTATTTATTTATAGTACTTTGATTCATCTACAGGATAGGAAAAAAGATGCTTCTATGTGTATCTTCTCGGGGTGTAATAATTGTTATCCATCTTTGTCAGCAAGTTTCTACATGCGACCTAAGTTTATTGTGAAACTCTTTCCCACAACTCCTGTGTTGGTCCTTAAAGTAAATTTTTACATATTGATGGTTTGCCTTTTGAGAGACAGGAGCATTCAGCTGTTCCTAGCTCTGTGAGGAGCCGAGTTAGGGAAATTCTTCGCAGTGAATGTGGTAAAATCATATTCTTAACGCAGTCCATTGACTACATAAAGGCACTGTCATTGCAGTGAGTTTGTGGGAAGGCAGTTGACCCAACCTAACAGCTCAGTTCCTCTGAAAAAGTCTTTCAAGTTATTTGATTCCCCAAATAACCCAATTCAACTTCCAAAATGATTATCACAGAATCATAGAATGGTTTGGGTTTGAAAGGATCTTAAGACCATAAAGTTCCAACCCCCTGCCATGGGCAGGGACACCTTCCACTAGACCAAAAGGCTCTGTCCAACCTGGCCTTGCACAGTGCCAGGGATGGAGCATTTACCACTTCTCTGGGCAACCTATGTCAGGGCCTCACTACCCTCAGAGTAAAGAACTTCTTCCTTAGATCTAACCTGATCTTCCCCTGTTTATGTTTAAATCCATCACCCCTTGTCCTATTGCTACAGTACCTGATGAAAAGTTCCTTTAAAAGCATCCTTATAACCCCCTTCAGATACTCTGAGGTCTCCACGCGGCTTCTCTTCTCCAGGCTGAATAACCCCAACTGTCTCAGCCTGCCTTCGTAAGGGAGGTGCTCCAGTGGCTGATCATCCTCGAATTAGGCTGTTATGTATTTAATTTTGCCTTGTTAATTACCTACAGGTTTAAGAGAGCTCACTTGTTTTACTGAGGAATCAAAGGGGCATTAAATCCAGTGCAAGGGGCAAGGTGATATAGGTAGGAACATGCCTGGGGAAAGACAAGGAGGAGTAGGACTGACTGGCCCCAATGAACTGAGGTGCAGCTCATCCTTGAGGTGCAGTGTAGCATCTTGTCTCAGAAGGTTTCTTTGCCATCTGAAGGTTACTCTTTTCTGTGCTTTTTTTCTCCCACTGAAATGATCTCTGCCCACAAATGGGCTTTGGACATGGAACTGCATTGAGATTCTAGACTTCAGTTTTCTGCCTCATAGCCTGAATTTACTTTTTGCATCCCCCTTGTGCACTTCTCTGTCACTGGTACTATTCGGAGACCTTGAGGACAGCACCTCTGTTATCAAGTGTTTTCACATCTTGTAAGGTCTGCAGCCTTTCTGCACACACGTGTGATTTCACATGAGCGCACAGTCCCTGCGGTCTGTGCCTAATAACCAGACACCCCAATACTACTACCTGCTGCTTCTTTACTTACAGCACAGATGGACTGTTGTTTCACTAACTCATTGAACAGCTCTTGTTACTGGAAAACAGCACTGTTCACCCTTTGCCATTTTCCTTACCCCCAGGAAAAACTAATTGTACCTGCTTTGTATTAAGAGATTATTTTTGGGATAAAAATGCTTTTTTTTCTGTTCACGGAGTTAGGTGAACATTGTTTCACTCTCATAATGTAAGATAAACCTAATAAACTGAACTAGATACCAAGCTGACGTACATGAAGAACATCTTCTAACACGGAGGTTAACCTGGAATATTGACTGCTATTTTTTTTTTTTAATTAAAGTTTAAATCAATGTGCTGAATCACTCTGAAATTCAGTGGAATATGCAATTAGTTTCAGTCTAAACATGCAGTTGTTTAGCAGTTAATTGTCATTCTTTAGTTCGTAACATCCTGAGGTGCTGAAAGTATAACCTGTTTCTCTTGTTAGGTACAGTACGTTTCTGTAGATTGTCAAAGACTGTTTTTTCTGTGTTGCATGTTTCTAGGTATTTTTAAGTTGTGTGTGTATACATATACATATGTATATACTTGTATATATAATATAGAAATAAGTATATATATTCTTTCTATATATACACATTCTCACTAACAAAAGCAAGTGCAAGTTTAGTACTTTGGACTGCTAAGAACTTATATGGAACCAGCTAAAGTTACACTGTAGGTTATATGAATGCTAGAACAATTGTAGTAGGAGAAACTACTCTTTTTATATGAGTGCCTTGAAACTGAAATAAAAGGTCACTTGTATTTTTAACACTCGTGATTCATAATTAAATTATTCTAGGTCCAAATGATGGAGCAAAAGGTGAAAAGATTGTCAGAAGAACTGAATTGCCAAAGACAGAATGCTGAGAGTGCTCGTCAGTCTTTGGAACAGAAAATAAAGGCAAAGGAAAAGGAATATCAACAGGTAAGTCAAGAAGGATGCTTTAATTCTGCCTTCCTGAGGACATGAAATCGCATGGCTTGTTTTGTGTATCTGCTATTCAGTTAATTGCATTCACAATTCATAGAGAGATTGCAAAGGTAACTGGCAAACTGAAAACAAACATCCCAATAGAGGAGAGAAGCTGCTGGAGAGGTGTGGAATTATGGTACTACTACATAGACAACATGGGCAAGAGACCCAACTGAGATACAAATCCATGAAAAGCTAGGCTTTGTTGTCCACAGAATTATGTATATTTGAGTTCCAACTTAATAACTGACTCGGTTATTTCTGTGGAGTCTGAGTTAATTTTTTCATGCATCTCACTCTCGAGTGAAAAAGTGTTTCCACAAAGTCTGTTAGTCTGGATGCTAACCCAGCATCTCAAAGAGATACTGAGCCTGTTCCAAATCAGTTGTTATTGCTCCAGTAACCAAAACACAGACTTATTGAAGTTATATGTTTATTTCTTTCCTACTATACCACTGTTTCTAGGAACTCTCTTGTCAGCAACGCTCCTTACAAACACTGGATCAGCAGTGCAACCAGATAATAAACAAACTGCATCAAGAGCTGCAGCAAGCCAAAAATGACTTCAATGCTCTACAGGCAGAATTTGACAAAGTAGGTGATTGTATATTAAATCTTCTACTAGACCTGGAATTTACTTGTCTCAGCAGTACTGCCTTAATTTAATCTTACATAAAGCAAAAAATAATTGATAGTAGTGTTTTGCACAGTATTAGCTAGTTTGTGTTTACCATTGCTCACTAAAATACTATGTATCTAAATGTGAATGACAGGCTTTTAAAGGTTTGAGGGTAGTCTGCTTCCCACAGGGAAGATGTGAATGCAAAACAGTGCACCTGAAATAAATCAGTTGGAGAAAGGAGCAGCTAAGTGTGGTCACAAGAGACACCTTAAGTAGTGAACTTGTTGAAATGCAGCTTGATGATAGAGCTAAACAGGTAGTTGCCGTTTCAAACACAGACTGGCTGTGCGCTCCTGGTGGTACTTGCTTGGCAGCAGCCCCTCATGTGGCCCTGCGGAGAGCTGACACAGGAGCTAAATGAGCAAAGGGAAAACATAAATTAGAGTATGTCTACACAGGCACAAGTGGTTGCTGTGAGTTTCACTCCCTGAACTGGTTCTCCTCAAAATCAGATGAGCATCATGGCTTCTATAAGGATGAGCATCAATACAGAGGACGATTCCACAGCTATCGCAGTCGCTAGCTATTAGAACGCATCAGTGGTCACAAACCCACCATTTCAAGGAAGTTGGAAAGCCACACACAAGCCTGAAGAGTGGGTGCCCAGAAAAGAGAAATGTTTAAAAGCCTCAGAAAACTCTTGAGCAGCTGTAATGCAGCAGAGCTACCTGAATTTCTAAGAAGGGCCACATGTTTTTGAAAGCTATCTTGAGATGCCCCATTAGCAGGCAAGCTGAGCTGAACCAGCAATTCCAAAGCTGACACCAGCTTTCCTGCAGGCTTCTTTCAGTTTAGAAATATAGCCAAGGGAATCCACCGACAAATGTTTTCAGTGTTTATTTGCACATTCTTTTGTATATGCTTACTGGAGAAATTGATTTCATAGAGACAAAAATAAGTGACTTTCAGTTCTTTCTCCAAGAAAGCAAATTTATTACCTGATGACCTCAGAATAGACCTCACTCTTTTGATCTGATAATGGCATTTATTTCCTTTTTAATCTGGAACATTATCAGACTATTTTGAAAGAGAGAAAACCAGTTTGTATAAAATCTGTGTCAATGGAATAGTAAGTGCAGTTATGATCCTAACTTTCTGATTCTCATAGCTTAATAAAAAGGCTATTCCATTTCCAATCTCATCTGTTTCATACAACTACTGTTGTGGTGATGTAGGTGCAAGTTAGATGTATTTTTCCAATTTCAGAGTCTAGAAATCTGTATTTCAGAGACATCTCATCTTTCTGGTCAGAGGCAAAGGAGTGGAAAGGCAATAAGCAGCTATTTTCTAAACCGCAGTCAAACACCCTAAGGTTCATGGTGGGATGAAATAATGTAGTTTTATTTTGTAATAGAATGTTGGAGTTCAAGAAGGTGAGTTTAGAAAAAGTTTTATTTCTGCTTCTGAACACAATGTTGATTTTCAACATTCTTGCAGGTAACGGCAGTAAAACAACACTTGGAATTTAACACTAGTGATCTCACCCAGAAGCTGTGCACAGCAGAGCAGGCTTTGTTAGCAGCCCAGACTAAGGAAACTGATTTGACAAGAAGCTTTGAGGTAAGCAATGCAGAGGAGCAGTTGACAGTATTAATACCATAAATCATAGAATCATAGAATGGTTTGGGTTGGAAAGGACCTTAAGATCATCCAGTTCCAACCCTCCTGCCATGGGAAGGGACACTGTGCACTAGATCATGTTGCCCAAGGCTCTGTCCAGCCTGGCCTTGCACAGTGCCAGGGATGGAGCAATTAACACTTCTTTGGGCAACCTGTTCTATGGCCTCAACACTCTCTCAGTAAAGAACTTCTTCCTTATGTCTAAGCTTAACTTCCCCCGTTTCAGTTTAAATCCATCACCCCTTGTCCTATCACTACAATCCCTGATGAAGAGTCCCTCTCCAGCATTCCTGTAGTCTCCCTTCAGATATTGGAAGCTGCTCTGAGGTCTCCACACAGCTTCTCTTCTTCAGGCTGAAAGCCTCAGCCTGTCTTCCTAAGGGAGGTGCTCCAGTCCCCTGATCATCTTCATGGCCTCCTCTGGACTGCTTCCAATTTGTAAGCACTAATACTGTCAAGCATTTACTCAAGTAGTGCTTTTTCCGTAAGGAATCTTTAAAAACTTTTTGTGGAGTATCTTAATAATATATCTTAGTTGTAACACAAAAAAAGGAGGTCTTCACTTGTGTCATGTAGATTAATGCAGTGTGTGGAAGTGGCTGTGTGGTTAGGGTTCATTGCTGTAATGCTGCTTGTATGGTTTTAGTTCATGTTGGACTTACCTTTTAGCAAAAATAGGGTTTTGTTTTAAGATATTCTTGCTTTTGATCCTGAAATGAAAATATATCAATACTTACCTGATTTTTAAATGTGGACTCTAGAGTCACTAACAACTACTTTGATGCACACTGCTGACCTCAGTGATTTTTGTACAGAGCCTTACTATATCCTCTTTAAAAAGAAATAAATGTTTTTTTCTTGGAAGAAACACAGTCCAATGAATCCAGTATCTGAAGGGGGCCTACAAGGATGTCAGATAGGAACTCGTCATCGGGTACTGTAGTGATAGGACATGGGGTGATGGGTTCAAACTGAAACAGGGGAAGTTCAGGTTAGATACAAGGAAGAGTGGGGGTGGTGAGGACATGGAACAGTTTGCCTAAGGAAGTGGTAAATGCTCCATCCCTGGCAGTGTTCAAGGCTGGGTTGGACAGAGCCTTGGGTGACACAGAAGGTGTCCCTGCAGGGGGTTGGAACTGGATAATCTTAAGGTCCTTTGCAACCAAAACCATTCTATGATTCTATAAAATGCACACACACACTGCTGTACAGACTTCCTCTAATCAAGTGTTTGGATGCTGCCGTGCTCTCTCATATTCACATACACAGGCATCTTTTCACTTTAATGTCTCCTTTGCCTTCTCAGTTACAGTGCTTTGCTTTTGTGGCAATTAGAGCAGCTGCGCTTGAAATTGTTACAGTTGTGCCACTAGAGACCACTCAATGCAAATTTTCTCCTTGATTTGGAGAATCAGAAGTGAAAAACAGAGCTCAATACCTGTGTAATCTGTGTCACAGTGGGTTTTATTTAAACACTTTGCTTGTTGGTCTTTGTCATGAGCAGATATAAAATAATCTGGCATCATTTCTGCCCAAAATATACCTGTCCAAATTCTATGAACAGATTTAAAGTGAAATAACGGGCTTTGGTCAGATCAGCACAAATGCTGGTACAGCTTTAGTACATGGTGAAACTTTGGATTTATTCATACTGATAGATTACAATGTCTGAGATCATTCCCAGCTATTGGAATGTGACTATTTATACTGCAAATTGTTAGAACAACACTTAGCATGGCTTTAGCCCTGCTGATTAGCACTCTTCCAATTATAATTCCCAGGCATGATTTGGCCTCCATAAAAGAGTGGTCCTTGAAACCTATTTAGTAAATAAAAGTTACCAATACCTTCCAGTGGTAAGGCTAATGAAGATAACTTTCGTTCTTCCAGTGTATCCCAGAGGACGAAATCCTCCATCAAGCTTCTGCAAATTCTTAATGTAATTTACACATTTCTGGACACCATCTCTCCTTAGTTTATATCAGATATTGTGGGATTCTGGCTTTGAAATTATGGAATTAGGATAGATTTGATATAGTTTTTTGAGATCCCATTGTTAGAGAGTATCAAATTTATGGAAATAACTTTTTTTGCTGCAAGTTCTTGAGAGTGCTTCATTTTACTTACCGGTAGTATGTCCATCTTACAAAGCTGTAAATGTAATCAGATTTTGCCTTTGTATTTGTTTGTCTTGATCAGACAATGATGTTGCATTAGAATATGACTGATAAGGATCTAAAGAAGCTTAATCTGGGGGAGATTGTAATGTCTGAAGACATCAGTAACACTACAGTTCTCTTAAAGTCTTGCACATGAGAGGGCATGGTATGTGTCAGCAGCACTTAGGGCAGGGCTTGTCTTCCTCTTGTAAATACTCTGCAGAAAACAACACCGAATTGTTTTGAGGTATTGCAGGCTTTCTTGGCAGTAGATTTTCTTTATAGAAAAAGAAAACGAGAGATACTGGCATTTCTTTTCCCTTGTTAAAGGGAAGTTGTCTTATGCTAAGCATCTAACTACCCAATGGAGAATACAGTTGTTTTCCACTGGTTAATCCACTTCTGTGTTTAGTCCTTATTGTATAATAAGACTGATGTTCCAAAAATGTTGCAAAACAGATATACTTGAGAGACTTCCAAGGATATGGTTAGTTTAAGGACTACTAATCTTTGCAGTGATGATATCTCTATAGCTTTGCAGTTCTGGCATCTTAGCATGTGGTTTCCATTTTGATGGTGCAAGCAGCCCATAACTGTTCTTGAAACAATGGGTCAGTCAGTCCCTAACCTGCTTGTAAGTCTGCCTTGTGAATCAAAAATCACAGACTGGTTTGGGTTGGAAAGGACCTAAAGATCATCCTGTTCCACCCCCTGCCATGGGCAGGGACACCTTCCACTAGATCAGGTTGCTCCAAGCCCCATCAACGCTGCCAGGGATGGAGCATTTACCACATCTCTGGGCAGCCTGTGCCAGTGCCTCAGCACCCTCACAGTAAAGAGCTTCCTCCTTATATCTAACCTGTACTTCCTCTGTTTAAGTTTGAACCCATCACCCCTTCTCCTATCGCTACAGTCCCTGATGAAGAGTCCCTCTCCAGCATCTTTGTAGGCCTCCTTCAGGTACAGGAAGGCTGCTATGAGGTCTCCATGCAGCTTCTCTTCTCCAGGCTGAACAGCCCCAGTTTTCTCCACAGTAGTAGTACTACCTGTACGTGGGTTCTGGAGTTTGCTTTGGTTTGGGTTTTGCTTTTTGGTTAGCAGAATGGTTAACTTGAGTAATACAATGTGCAAGTAGAATTGATAGCTGGATTGAAACCAAAAAGCTTACAGCTTTGGAAGTGTAAATGGTTAGTTACTATCAGACATTAGCCCATTAAATCATGGCTTCCTGGGTTTTAAATAATTAAATATATTAGATAATGGGACCTTTTAGCCATTTCAGTTCCTTAAAATTATTTGGTCTTCTTTCTGTAGATCTCTCCAGATTTTTTAATGAATAGGCTTGCTTAGTTCATGTATTGCATCTGCATGCGGCACTTTGAATGTGAGAAGTTTGGACATTTGCCCTTCAAAAAAATTAAGATCACGAGAAAACTTTCTTCACTGAAACTTCTCTGGCTGGATTATTATGGGGTTTTAAAAGCTATGGGTAGGGAAGGCCATGAGTAGAAGGGAAGGTAACTGTTGGTGACAGTGACAATTTTAATCATGTTCTCAGGGTGATTTATGTATGTGGCTGCAAAAACAAGCCTGCCATGCCAGCAAGCTTTGAATCATCCAGACCTTTCCATTTCTTGAGCTTGGATTCTCTGAGTTGCTGCCCATCTGCTAGTAGTAAACAGATGAATAATTGATGGCCTCTTTCCAATGGGGCCTGCCAGTTCCATGCCATCTGGTGTCCAACAGCATAGGAGTTTGGAGAAAAAGGATTAGTTTCCTTAAGAAAAACTTTTATTTGGCTTTCTACATGCGATGGAGTTACATAGTTTTGTCTGTGTAGTGGTTTGGGGGTTTTTAAACTGGGTTTATTTGGAAGAAAATACTGGCAAAACAACCTTCTTGAAGACTGAGCACTCTAGTATTGCCATGCTCATGATCAGTGGAAGGAGAACTTCTCTCTATGTGAGACATGAGGTAAAATATCTATATATTTCTTGTTAATTTTGAGGCCATTGAAGGGATTTGTTTCCTCTGTAGCTTTGGGAAAGTAGCCCGACTTCATCAACTCAGATTCTATAGGGTATGTCCTGTTCTGTCTTGATCTGTTTGCCCTGTGCAAGCAAGGGGTATGCTAACTACTTAAAGTGGCTGCAGCATAGAATTACAGACTGATTTGGGTTGGAAAGGATCTTAAGATGATCCTGTTCCAACCCTTCTGTCATGGGAAGGGACACCTCACGCTAGACCATGTCACTGAAGGCTCTGTCCAGCCTGGCCTTGAACACTGCCACGGATGGAGAATTTATCACATCTCTGGGCACCTTGTGCCAGGGCCTCAGCACCCTCACAGTAAAGAACTTTTTCCTCATATCTAACCTGAACTTCCCCTGTTTCAGTTTGAACCCATCACCCCTTGTCCTATGGCTACAGTCCCTGATGAAGAGTCCACCCTCAGCATCCTTGTAGCCCGCTTCAGATGCTCTGAGGTCTCCAGGCAGCTTCTCTTCTCCAGGCTGAACAGCCCCAACTTCCTGAGCCCGTCTTCACATGGGAGGTGCGCCCTCTGATGCTGTCAGCTAGTTAAGACTAGTTTAGCTTATGTTCCCAAGCAGTGTTTAGGAACCCAGGCACGGCAGCCCGAAGACTTAATAAGACCTAATGGAATATCTTTCTTTTGGTTTAAATTAACTGAATTCTTTGATCTACTTGACAATCCACATGAAATGTAGTCTTATTTGCATTTGGTTTAGGAAGTGAAGCAGGAAAAAAACCTTCTTGACTGTCAACTTGGAAAAAAATTGCAAGAGATCCACCAGCTTGAAGAAGAGCTCACAACGATCAATCAGTCTCTAAAGCAGAGCCAGAGTTTTGCGGAAGAGATGAAAAGTGAGTTACATATTTAAATCTGCAGAACTCCTGTTGCCTGTTTAGTGGTGTATGATTCCTGCAATCCCGTAAGCTTCATTAGGAATTAAGTACAAAAGTTTCCACTGTGGCTTATGATTAGTGTTTTTAACCAACACTGAGTTTCTCCTAAATGGAAATGAATTTTTGTCTGTGAACATACAGAATTCCTAAAGATACATAATTTGGAAATTAAGGTGTACTAAATTTAGGAGCAAAATGATTTGGAGCAAAATCTATTTAAACCAGAAAACTCCTGTTTTGTAGTTATGTGTTTCACAGTTTAGGAAAAAAACAGTACAAAAATGTTACATATCTATCAATAGTTGAGTCTTGCCTGCAGTGTTTTCTTCTGAGAACACAGTGTTTCAGGAATTGAGTTGAAATATACCTCGTTCTGTTGGATCTGGCTGAAAACAAGGGGATAGATTCCATCTTGTGTGTATGCATCTCCCTTGTACCTGTGTGTCTGTCGAGCTTCATGTAAGATTATAAAATGAAGCTTTTGAATTTGATCCTGTTCTCCTTAAATGACCAAACTTTTAATTGCCTTTCAAGTGAGCAAGTCTGCTCCAATCAAGGCAGGGAAACAATTATGATAATTTGGGAAATGTCTGTGGAATTGGACATTCTTTAGGAGAAGTGGACTATGAGGCTGACCCACAAGATGGTCACATACTGGTATGAGACCTGTCCTGCTAAAAAGAGACAGGAAAAAACCAAAAGCAGTGCTACTTTATATAAAATCTGGTGGAAGTGAGACAGAAACAACAGGTAGTTACACCTGAGAAGTAAAGACTGACTGGCTTGGAGTGCAGGCTTGTGTCAGACTGCAGAGTGAAAAGTTGGTGGTGTCTATGAGTGAGTAGTGCCCGATCGTTTAAGGTGATAGCAACAATTCTTTTTCCAGTGTTGCAGTTTCAGAGTAATGCCTCCCACTAAAATGAGAACTGAAAATCGTCAAAGTGAATAGTAATAATTCACCTAGAAAATGATCAGTGGAGTTGCCGGTATTGACTGGCAAAGATTTGATTGTGCTTTCTTTTACAGATAAGAATTCTATTCAAGAAGCAGAGCTGAAGTTACTAGAAGAGAAATTTAAAAAGCAAGAGAGCTGCCTTTTGCTGGAGAAGCTGCAAGTAGCTTTAGCTGACATGGAAAAGCAACAAGATTCTACCCAAGACCTGCTCAAGGAAAAAGAGAATCATATTAAAGAACAAAACTATGAAATAAGTAAAATGGGGGAAGAATTGGAAGCTTTGCAGAGGCTCCTTGGACTCAAGCAGAGAGAATGTGAAGAACTGCAAAAAGAGGCCACTGCTTTTTCCCAATGGAAAAGTGAAAGTGATCACCATATAAATAAACTGAAATCTGAGAAGGACGGTTTGCTGACCCATATTAATGACTTGGAGAGGTCCCTTCAGAGTCAGCAGATCAAAACTCATGAGCATAGTGAGAAACTCAGCGTGATGCAAACTGAAAATGACAGGAAGAGCACAGAGATTAGAGAACTTAGAGACATGCTGGAATGTAAAAGTGCAGAATTAGAGGAACAAAAAAAAGCTTTTGCTGAAGTTCAGTGGAAAGCAGAATGTTCTGACAAAAAGCACTGTAAAGAAGTGGAAAACATGACCTGTAAAATACTGCAGCTTACCAACCAAGTTGATGAAGTAGAAGAAAAGTTGCAGTTAGCAGCAAGTGAAGGACTGCAAAAGGAGCAATGTTATCAAGAGCTGCTCAGTGAATATGAAAAAATCTGTCATCTTGTAAAAGCAAAAGATGCTTTCAAAATGACAGAAGATGGAGAAGTTGATTTGAAAAGTGGCCAGGATAAAACTGGTTTAGATAACACACAACTTGCAGCAAGTAACTCCATTACTGACAAGCATGGATGTGCAAGAGCTCTTCTAGAACTAGAACAAACTAAGGATCTGGCCATTTTACAAGATCAGATCTCATCTCTTGAGATCTCCTTAGTGGGTCAAAAGCAGCTGAACGCAAATCAGCGCCAGCAGTATGAAGACTTGCTGCAAATAAAGGGTGAAACAGAAGCAAGATTACTTAGTGTAGAGCAGATGCATGAAAGCTTTGTGACAGAAACTAAACAGCACATTAGTAACTTGCAAGCGGATATTTCAGTACATCAGAAATTAGTTGAGGAAAAAGACATGCAACTGCAAACTCTGAATGAAAGATTAGAGAAAAGACAAGCTGAGCTTCAGGATTTGAAAGTCAATCATAAATTGCTTGAGGATTCAGTCAGACAGCTGAAGCTTCTGTCTGGAACGTGGGATTCAGAGAAGAAGGACATGTCTTCAATGATTTGTTCGTATAGCAAAACAATTGAGGAACTTACCGAAGAAAATGCAAGCCTTAGGGATTTAAGCAGAACTTTAGAGCAAGGACAAGTAACTTTACTGGGAGCAAATAAACATCTTTCTGATAGTTTAAAGGAAAGAGAAGAAGTAATTTCTGAACTGTCCAGAAAACACAAAAAGGAAAGAGAACGTATTGAATCAAGAACTGAAGAAATCAAATCGGAGCTTGAAGCTTTGCAAGCAAAGCATGAATCGATGGAAGAAGAAAATGCAAATCTGAAGAGCATTCTCAAAGAGCACGCAACTGAATCTGAGGAAAAGAAAGCAAAATTAGAACAAGAGAAACAGTTCTTTAGTGAGAATAAAGATATCTTACAGAAACTAATAGCCTCAGAAGAAATAAAAAAGGATTTGGTTCAACAACTTCAGCAACTACAGTCAGAATTTTCCAGTACCCAAAATGTGCCTTTGACAGAGCTTGAATGTTTAAGACAGGAAATGTTAAACATAAGGGCAGCACCAAATACAACGCAAGAGGAAACTGATATCTTATTTCAAGACAAGGAGCAATTGGGGAAGAATCTGGAAATGAAAAGTAAACCTCTAATGTGTGATGTTGGGTGTGAAGAGAGACTCCATTCAGAACAGTTGAGGAAATCCATAGAAGAAAAAGATATTGAGTTGAATAAATACCAAGTTAAACTTGAGCTTCTTCAAATGGATTTTGAGGACAGAGAACTCTCTCTAGAGAACTACAAGTTAGAAGTGATGCAGCTGGAGACCGCTTTAAAAGGCGTAGAAGTAGAACTTGAGAAAAGCATGAGAGAGAAAGAGAGGCTGCAAGAACTGCTGTCAGTTAAAGAACTGAAAGCTTCAGATGACGATGGTCACTCACTGGAATATAATTATGATGATGTTTCTCAGAACTGTGGCAAAAGAGGAATGGAGGAAAGTTTTTCATCATTCTTGCTGGCATCCTCATTGCAGGTAACGCTGAACAACCTGAGCAAGCTTGAGAAAATGTGTGATAGCCTGCAGGCTGAGAACAATGCATTAGCCTCTGGATTTGAAGACTCAAAAAACAATGGCAGTACAGGTACTGATAAAGTGGCAGAGGAGAGAGAGAATATAATGAATGAAGATAGAAATTTAAAAGCAGAGGAAGCTGTTTTTCCTGATGAATTTATGGATCAAAGTGATAGCAGTGATTTGAGAATGTATTCTGGTAATAAGGAAATGTCCTTCACACTTAAAGAATGCAGTACTGGATCCAGCTCAGACTACGAGGATTTGAAGTTGTCCAGCAAAGAAGTTAAAATACACTTTGCTGAAGTGAGAGAGAAGCTTTTGTCCTTCCAGAATGAACATATAAAATTATATGAACAACATTGCAGTATGAGCTCAAAGATATCTGAGCTACAGTCTTGTATTGAAATGCTGAAGGCAGAAAATTCTGCACTGTCAACAAGTACGAGCAATGCACATAAAGCTTCTGTGAGAGGGCCACTGTCTTCCAGCCAAAGTGATATGGTGCCTCACTCAGATGAAACAGAGTCCATAGTTTGTTCCTCAGATCCCTTGCAAAGTCCCTGTTTTACAGATGTGCGTGAGGTGATTGATTCTTGTAACAGGGGTAGATGTAAATGGATGGAGGAAGTGACTCAGCCAGACAGTTCTGCAGAAATAATTCCAGAAGATGCAACAAAAGCTTTGGTTGAAAATTGTTGCAATGATCACAAGTCGGACTCTGTAATGCCCAGGAGCATTACTCCTGGGAAATCTAACCTTGAGAGTAAAATTGAAGAGCTTCAGATGCTGTGTCAGACATACAATAAAGCCATCAAGGTGTTTGAAGACCAATTTCGCATCCAAGAGAATATGAAAAACGAGGAAATACAAGAGCTGAAAAATGTTATTCTTTCTGAAAGAAAAGAAGTAGATCATCTCAAACAGCAAAATCTATCTGACAGAGAAGAATGGCAGCAGAAACTGAATAATGTGACTATGGAGATGGAGGGCAAACTGGCAGCAGAAAGAGAACAAACTGAGAATCTATCTTTGGAGCTGGAAGCAGCAAGACTTCAACTCCGAGTCCTTGATTTAAGTTCTCATTCACTGCTATGTGCAGATATTGTAAATGTAAGTAGCTATAAGTCATTGTCATGCAAATCAGTTTTATGTGAAACTGTTGATGCTAAGCCAAATTCAACTCTTGAAATTAAATGTGTATAAATTTCCCACAGAAGTGGTACTGTTGTTTAAGGAAAGCAGAAAAGTTATCCATCCCTTGAGGTTCTATGCGTCCCAGGGATTATGAGAAATAGCAATGGCAAAACCAACAAGTTGAGTCTGTTAGAACTGTGTAATACTTTGAACTACTTTCTTCTTTCTTTTTTCTCAGGTGTGGGTTGTTTTCAGTGTGGATCCTGTGTGTTAAGTGGGGGTGCATGCACTGTATGTGTCTGCTGCTGCTTGTAAGGACTGGCAGAATCAAAACTTCACTCCGAATGGAAGAAAACCAGTTTAATTCTTGTAGACAGTGTATTAGACTAATTCCCCTTAAAAATAATTTTAACAGGTGTATTTTCTGCTTTTGAGAATTCCATTTTTGACCAATAAGTCCTGTGCAAGTGGCCTCCAGTGCCACATCAAAAGGGAAGTTTAACACTGTTCTCCCAGTCAGAGCATCCTGAAGCTCTACATTTTGGTCAGCTGTGCAACACTGAGCACCTGCTCCTTGCAGAGGAGAAAATCTTCTATGCGTTGCTTGCAATTCACATAGTGCATCCAACACTGATCATAGAATCATAAAATAGTTTGGGTTGGAAGTGACCTTCAAAGGTCATCTAGTCCAACACCCCTGCTATGAGCAGAAGCATCTTCTAGATCAGGTTGCCGGGAACCACATCCAGTGTGGCCTTCATTGTCTCTGGGGATGGATATATAGACACTTGGAAGAAAGAAATACTGCTCTTTACCACACCTAGCTGAAGCTTTTTAATGATGAAGCCCTCAGTACAGATCATTCAGGTGCTGCTTTCAGACCTAGTTCTTTTTTGGAGTTCTCAAGTTTTGAAGTTACTCATTCTTATTGCTTCCAATGAGAGCATCAGGTGGCACCAAATGTAAGCCCAGCTCTGACACAGTAGTAATTTGGAAAAGAGATTTGGGTTTGTTTGGGTTTTTTTAGGATTTGGGCTTGTATTCCTTGAAGATTCTCTGGTGTCTAATGGAAGGTAAGCAGTAAATTTCCCCCATTAGTAATACTCATAATTTTTCACTTTGTTTTCCCAAACTATGGAGGTGTGTGATGTCTTTGCACTTAGTCTTTCAGTAAATTTGGCTGAAAGTTCTCACTTGATATCTTTAAAACCTTTTGACCAAAGTTGTATGGCTGTAGAAACAAGTGTAAACTCTTTCCATAAGAAAGCAGATTCTGAAGTAGAGGATGCTATTTATTTATTGTAGTATTTACTAGTTTAAGAAAACTTTTAAAGCTCACCTTCTTTTATTCTTAATGTGTTTTCTTTTCCTTTTTACTTTTTTAATGGGTTGATTCTTACCCTTGCAGATGACTGACCAAGAAACCAGTACTCCTTATCGATCGGGAGTGCCTACTGAAAACTCAGCGCTGAAAAACAAAAGGTGTATACTAATCCCCATTGAGAAAATGGCTGTAGGAGGTCCCTCTGTGTGTGAAAATGCAACTGAGACCACTGAAGCAAGACTAATGGAAAATTACACTGAGATTTCTGGAGAACATGAGGGTAGAAATATGTCAGGAAAAATAACTAGCCCTTCAGACCATGCCAGTGCATTATCAGTTTCCAATAATAGGGTGTGTTTGTGTGCAGGGTATTTCTCTGAAAATCAAATAACCACTGAAATGCTTCGGGAGGAGGCAAAACAACAGACCGCTGAAAACTTGAAGCGGATCTATAAGATGGAAGAAAGCCATAAACATGTTGATTTACTAATGAAAGTTGAGCAATTAAACTTGGAGCTGAACTTTCAGAATCCACAATTAGCTCCAAATTGCTCAGCTTTTGCAGAACTGGAAGAAGCTGCTGTAGTTGTCAAGGGAGAAAACTGTGGCATAAAGGAAATACTGGAATCAGTTTCTATCAATAACCAGCAAGTCTCTCTTACAGCAGAAAACGAACCTGAGAACATAAATTCTGAGCTTGAGGTATATAAGGTTAGATTCCCTAATACAGCAGACACATTGGATGATGTAGAAATGACCAAGAGAGATTGTCCTGACCAATTTCTTGCAGCTGAAAACGAACAGAGGAGTCCTAAATCTGAGCAAGGTAATATTAAGAACCATATCTTGTTCACAGAGCATGATACTGAAATGCTTCAGGCAAAATGTCAGCAATTAGAAAAGGAGATGGAAGTTAACCTGGAAACTATTCCTAGCTTCCAAGAGCAACTTGGTTCAGTCACAGCTGAGAGAAACCATATTAACCAAGAACTGAGTATTTTGACTGAAAATAAAAAGGAACTGGATCAGAAGTGCCAGAAGCTACAAGAGAAATTAAAAGAGCTGGAGTCAGCCAAGGTGGATTCTGATGAATTCATTAGAAGGTTAGAGGGTGAAGTGAGGACACAAACAAATCTGCTTGAGACTGCAAAATCTGACGTAAATCAGTTATCAAATGAAAAAGAGCATCTTCTGCAGAAGCTGCAAAGTTTGGAAAATGATGTCGTGTCTTTCACCTTAGAAAAGGAAAAACTCCAAAATGAAGCAGCGGATTTGAAGAAGGAGAAAGAGCTGATTGTAAGAGAGCTGGAAATAACGCGGAGTAAATTAAGTTCATCAGAAATGGAAAATTCCAAGTTTTCCAGATCTTTGGAAGGCTTGTTAATGGAGAAAGGTGAACTGGCTGCTAGACTCGGCTCAGCACAGAAAGAAGTAGACCAAATGAGACACGGAATTGAGAAGCTGAAAGTCAAAATTGAATTGGATGAGAAGAAAAAGCTCCACATTGCTCAAAAGCTGAAAGAGAGTGAACGGAAAGCTGACTGTCTTCTAGATAAAACTGAGAGGCTTGAAAGAGAACTGGAGATGTCAGAGAAAAATCTAGAAGATGCAATTATTCAGTTGGAGACTGCAAAAGCAGAGGCAGAAACAGTAACAGTGGAGATGGAAGAGATGACTGAAAAGCTGAAATGTTTGAACGTACAAATTGAAGTCCTCACCTCACAAAAAGAATGTTTGGCTAAAGATTTAAAAGAAAAGCAAGAAAGAATCCTTGAACTAGAGGCTGAGAAATTGACTACAGCAAAACTGTTAGAAGAAAAGGAGGAAGAAAGGCTGCAAGTCAAGGAAGAGTTTGAAAATGCTATGGCATTGCTGAAATCTGAGCTCAAAGAGATGAGTGAGAAATCAGAGGAGGAAGGAGATGCTAGAGCGAAAGAGCAAGTCTTGATTAACCAGGTGGCTCATCTTGAGCAAGATAAAACAATGCTGTCACAGGAATGTCAGGAATTAAAACATGAAAATATCAGATTGGATCAAATGAGGGAAGAACTTGTTCAAGAATTAACGCTTTGTAAGCAAAAGCTCAGTGAAAAGGTGCAGGAAAACAGTGATCTCGAAAAGGAGGTGAAAGAAAGAGAGGAGCTGTCTTTACAGCTGACACATATGCACCCTGAGCACGCACACTGGCAACAGGAAAAAGAGAGGCTGCTGAATTTGGTTGCTGAGTTGAAATTGAAGGAGCAACATGTTCCTGAGAATGAAACCTTTCCGGCTATCCTGGACATTCTAAAAGTGTCCTATAAGAACCTTGAGAAAGAACTGGAATCTACTCGTTGTGAAAAGAGCACTTTACGTGAAAAGGTAATACCGCTTCCTTTAGCACAGAGCTCCCTTTTGAGGAGTGAGGATAAAGTGTCCTCTGGGATTAGCACTTCCTTAATAAATTATACCTTATAATAACTAACTTTTACAGTAAGCATCCTATTTTTGAAATGCTTTCAATGGAATCCTGAGTTTGCATTGAAGTTAGAGCTGGAAAGCGTGATATTGTTTCGGGTAGGGTGAATGGGAAAGTTGCTTGAAAGGAGGCATAGAAGTTTAAGTAATCAAATAATGCAGGGTAGTTTCCTCTTTCCTTTAGAAGATAAAGAGAAAAAAAAACAAATTAGCATTGGATAAGTGAGCTTTTATATCAAGAAAAAGTACTTTGGGAGCTCAAAGGAAAGCGAAACAACAGTTGGGCACTTAACGTGTGAAAGCAGCATTAGGCTGTTGTGACTGCTGCTTGGAGGTACAGCAGCTATGGGAATAAAATAACTCATCTTAAAATCTGCTTTGCTGTATATAAGGAGCTTATTTGGAGGTCATGACACATGCCATTAAAAATTACTGTGAAAAATTTCATTTCAGGTAAATGAACTGATGGGAAATCATAGTGAGCTGCGAGTCAAGCTAAGTGATGCTGAACAGAAGATTTCCCAACTACAGGAAGAATTTACCACAGAAAGAGACAAGCTTGCTGAAGAAATACAACTTATTCAAGAACATTCAGAAAAGAGCAAAGTTAGTTACTCCATGTGTAGTATTTCTGAGTTCAAGGCTAGATGCTCAAGTACCATAAATGTGTGGAGGTTGGTCAAGGGAGCTGTGCTAGTGTACAGTCTTGGAAGTTTTTGCTTCTGAATCTTAAATGTTCTCTTCTGAGACAGCATTTATGAACAATATTTTGTGTTTAAATCAGCTTAAATGGTCTTCTGACCTATTAACAGTATTTATAAAGTATTATAATGAGGCTTGAGTCTGTTGTTGTGTTAAGGAATTTGGGTGGGAAAAGAAAGGAAATATCAGCAGCTTTCAGAAAACGTGTATGGAAGTACAGGCCAACTGCTCCAAAGAGTACAGTTCTAAAAGTGGGTCAAAATGAAAATGCTTAGAAAGTTTTGTTATCTTAAAAGAGGGTGAGAAAAGTGACCCTTAACCTCCCGAGTCGCTCTCAGAGGGACCAGTGTTTAGAGAGGTTAAGCTTTAATTTTGGCACTGCTGCTTGTTTAAGTGTTGGCAAACATGCTCTGGCCATGCCCTGCAGATCATAACATTTCTTTCTAGAAGACCCTCCTTTGCCTTCTGTTTTGCCTTTTGCATTCAGATGTTTCCTTCTTTAATCAGTGTGTTTAGCCACTATTAAATATTTTTTTCTTTACCAGGTTGGTTTTGGGAATTCAGAGATGTTTCAGATGTAAAGTGAAATAGTTTAATGGGTCAACTCTTTCTCCATTGAGGAAATTCTAAATACTAAAGGATGTGCTATTACTGTTTACAGATTCAGCTGCATCAAACTGTGTCAGAAAAAAATGAGCTGACTAAGAGACTGGGCACGGTCCAGAAAGAACTGCAAGAAAAAGAAAGTGAAATGAAGAGAGAAATATCAGAATACAAAACCAGATTACTTCAAGCAGAGAAGGAACATCAGGATGCTCTGATGGAAGCAAACCGAAAGGTAAATCAGAAAATGGGAAGGATGGTGCTGTGAGTTTCTAATTCTATGTACTTTACAAAATTTTGCTGATCCTATTACAAAAGAACAGTATTTCTAACAGTATTGCCAAACTAAATATACTTACCTTGGAACTCAGTAAAGGTTGAATTAACCTTTATCCGTATAGCAAGCAGTGAAAGGTGAATTTATCTCAGGACTCTGTGTAACTGTATATGGAATTTGTCTATAAAGCAACAGCATGTTTTAGTCCAGGAAATGGTTGTTTTAATAGGAAAGGGGAAGAAAGATTAACCCCTTGAGGATATAAGGGCATATTTGTTGGAAATAAGTTTGTCAGCCATGCTGTGCACAAAGACCCTTCATCTTTTCTGCTGAAGTATCTGTCTGTAACTGTCTACTTGAGGCCAGTAGGACACAGGCAAACAATTTACTATGACTATTTCTTAATAGTTTTCATTCTTGTGAATATAAAGTAAATTTAAAACCAACTTTTACTAAAATACAAGGGCTTTCTAATGGCAGACTTCTTAAAGGCAAGTTTCTGGTATTCAAAATATATACTGGAGACAAATTGTTCTTTCAGTTTTAAACTCCTCAAAACACACTGAGCAGATTCGCTGTGGAATTCCTGTGGGCTGTGATATGCTCCTAAGCACATCTTTAAGTTTCAAGTCGGGGTCCTTTTTGGTATCATAGTAATTAGGCACATTTCCTTTCTCTAGAATGAAGCTGAAATTGAGGCCTGTCAAGATAAGATGAATTCACTGGAGCACTTTATCAGCTCTCAAAAATTGGAAATAGAGCATTTGAAGTCAAATAAAGAAGAGCTGAATAATTCCCTTAAAGAAGCTAAACAAACATTAGAAGAACTCCTAAAAACTAAGGTAAGAAAAAGTTATGTAAGCATGGCCAATTACATGAAACCCATGGCACTATGTAGTAAAATAAAATAGGATTGGGAGCCAGTGCTCCAGAGCTTTGGCTTGACTTTGATACAGCCTTTGTTTCATTAATGAGACTATAGAGCATGGAGGAAACATTGTTAATATTGATCTACAGTAGAAAAACTCTGCAATGTGTGCCACAACTGAGATCACCTAGAGCTGGTGTATGTGATACTCAATACAGCAGTCTGTCTACACTGAACATTGCAATAGGATTGTGACTAAAATACACTCAAAGAGACTTTGCAGTGCCTCAATTTGTGTATTACTTAGAACATGGCATCTTTTATCATCAGTCTTAAACATTAGTCCTGATACATTGCTCTTGATTCTGGAGAATTTATCAATTCCATTTTAATAGAATTCTCATGACATTTATTAACTAGTGTAACTTTCTGACAACTGTTATCCATGATCACAATATGAGTTCCACATACTGTGAACAGCTTGTAGCTCAGAACAGTTCTAGATGTGCTTAGTTTGCTTTCTAGTAGAACAGGAGAAGTTTAACTGTCCCTGTTGCTGAATTTATGTAAAATTTCCCTTATTTTTTCTTATCTACCTTTTCTGTTTGGTTTTGTTCTGCTTCTGTCTGTGTTTCTTTGCTGGCTCTATGTCTGTACTCCCACTCCAGGAATGAGTATCTCTCTAAATGTACTCTTAAAGAAAAATAGTCAATTCCATTTACTTGTAAGTAAACACTGAGTTGCAATACATTCATCTTGCTCATCAGTTCTTTATTCCATAGGGCCTTCCACTGTGGGGTTAATTTGCTTAATACCAGCAGTCCAATGATACAGAGGACAGTAGGATTTGTGCTAGCGATAGAAAACACTACCCAGGGTAGTGTAAATGCAGAGTGTACAAGGCTTCCTTTGTGCTCACTGCATGGCTTTTGCAAACAGGCCACATGAGCACAGAGCAGCTGAGGAGTGTGGCAGTAGGTGGAAAGGAACGGGTGGAAAAGGAACGATCTGCTGCTTCTCAGAACAGTCTTGTTGAGCCAGAGTTTGGAGTGCAAAGCAGGCCTGGGTGATCTTGCCTCTGCGGTAATAAGATGCAATAGGGATGGAGAGTAAATGAGACTCAGACTAGGAGGGAGCGCTTGAAAATTTGGAGTATTAGTTTGAAATTGTTAATGCTTTAAGTCACATCAATGAAGTGATAATAGAAAAAGGACTATTGCCTCAGAGTTCACAGGTAAACTGCTAGCCTTGACATCAGTAATCTGAGCATTCATAATCTGTTAGGTATACCTGAAGAGAGTAAGTCTCTCTTATTGGTATTTGAATTCTTGTTTTTCTGATGAGTTAATCATAGAATCACAACTGGTTTGGGTTGGAAAGGACCTTAAGATCATCCAGTTCCAACCCCTTGCCATGGGCAGGGACACCTCAGCCTAAACCATGTCGACCAAGGGTCTGTCCAGCCTGGGCTTGAGCACTGCCAGAGATGGAGCTATCTAGTAAGGACTTTCTTTTCCTGCAGTAAAGGAGCTGCTATAATGAGGTTGTAAGGAAGCAAGCAAACAAGTTTATGTGACAACCAAGCACTATGGCTTATCTTGCATAACAGTTGAGCTTCCATTTTACATTCTAATGTTTAAATGGAAGAATTATCTTTCTGATGTAATAAGTACATTTCTCATTTTGTAGGCTGATAACATTATAGTTCAACAGAAGAAGGAAGATGAATTTACCCACAGTGAAGTGCAGCTGTGGATGAAATCCTGTAAACAGATGGAACAGGAAAAGGAAACGTTGCAGAAACAACTTGTTGGACATGATGAATTATTAAACAAGAAAACTCTAGCTATGACAGAGTGTAGGAAAGAAGGTAACTAAATCTAGATTTCATCTTAATGCTTCTTAGCAGTTTAAGTTTGTAAAACTTCCCTTTCCCCTAAAATATCCATTTGCATATGCAGCTCTCATGCAGAACATGCTTCTTAACTAGCATAAAAAAGTACAACTGCAAACGTGTCAAAAAGTTTGTCTTCTTTCTCTTAAAGTATCAGAGGCAACTCTGGATTATGAATAGATATTTTAAATATTACATGTTTGTGTTTAAAAGTGAGCTAAGGAAAAAGAGGAGTGTTTTTCTTAATAACCAAAGCTCATGTACAAGTTCTTTAACAGTTTTCCAGCTTTCCCCACTGATTCTCATGTTCTGTTCTTTGTATTTTGGCTCCTCTCATGAGAGGCACTGTATTGGAAGTGATATTTAAATCTAGGGGCACAAACTCGAGTGTTCAGCAGTTACAAAACGACAGGGAAATGTTTGCCTATTCACTGGTCAAAGGTTCTTTGTGAATTGTGCATGTTTGTTCCCTATTTAGCAAATACGTTATTGGGTCTTATCACTGATTTTGTTATACGCTGTCACTTACCTTTTGCTAGTGGCACAGTAACTGAACGTATATAATTCGTTAAAAGATGTGTAACCATTCCATTGTAAGCTCTTATATATGCATTTTTCTGTCAGTTATAATGATATTTTGCTTTGAAAGGTGCCGATGAGAATGCTGTTATGGAGGAAATGAAGTTAAAACTGGAGGAACTACAGGAATCTACAGAAGTGAAAACCAGAGAAGCAAATGAGAACTTGGAGAAATACTGTTCTCTAATTGTTAAATATTATAAACTAGAGGAAGAAAATGAGATGCTAAAAACACAAGTCAGTTTGTTGAGTGCACAGCTGAAACAGCCAACAAGTAATCTTGTCAGCACTCCTTTGCTGAATTCAGATAACTCACTGACAGGGAGCAATCAATCTGTCAAAGAGATGAGGGCAGCTGAAGACGCTACTAAGCTTTCAAGTAAAAGGCAGAGACATGAAGACAACAGGAAAGATAACGGAGAACCAAGATCCCCTGTGCCAGAGACTTTATCCAGGAAAAAAAGGAAGGATGATGTCTGTCAAGATCTGCTAGGTGAGAAGAGCACTCTCAGTGAGCCAGATGGGCTTCCAGAAGGAGTGAAAAAAGGTATTCATAATGTTTTATAAAGGCAAACATCCTCTGAGCAGAGTGGGTAGGTTTTCTTCTCTTTTGGTTTGCTGGATTAGTTTTACTGTGGGTGAGTAGGTGACTGTGCAAACATTTTTGGTGACAGTGATGGAAGGTGAAAGCAGTTAATGTGAGATGTGCCAGTTAGTGCCAAGTTAGTGTTTGTGGAGCTGCAGTATTAAACTAGCATAATATGTTTATATTGGTTTAATAACTACCATTCTCCTGATGTATGAGGGGCTAAGCATATACTGTGTAACAGCAACAAAGTCTTGTGATGGAAGACTTGCTCTAGTCATTTAACAGCATTATTTGAACCACTGACTGGAACTTGCAGGAGAATAGATGTGGAGTGAGTCTAATCTTAAAGGCCACAAGACTGGAATGCTAGAGTACTGTGTTGTGATGGAGTCATGTTTGCTCCCTCCATAGCCCCACAGTTCCTTCAGTGTAACTCCTGATGAAGTCAGAGGCACAGCTATGTAGGATCTGACCAGTTAGTGGCTGGTGGTGAGGGCTGCAGGGGGAGCTCTGAGGAAAAAGGTACAACCTCAGGGGGACTACAGCCAGCAGGTTCCTCTATCCCTGAGCGCTTGGGTTAAAAACAAGGAGCAGGATCTGACCCCCATCTCCTGTTCTCCATCGCCTCACTGGAGGTGTAGTGTGTAGCAAGGTGATTGGAGACCAGAAACTGGAGAGGAGAGTTGTGTGTGGGGGGAAGCTGAGTGTCTTCCTCTTTTGGGGCCTTTTATTTCTTTCAATGCCAGTATCAGCAATTTAAAATGTGTTAATTTCCAATACAATAAATCAATTAAAGTTCTCGGAGTCAAAACTCCCTTGCCCTCAGCAGTAATACATTGCCATCTTCATGAGAACTCAGTTTCTTCCTACTATGAATGCAGTGAAATTAAGTACTCCATGCAAGGGTTCACTGTAACAGAAAGTGACTGAGAAGATGCACAAATCAGGGCTTGAAAAATATAATGTATGTTCAGCAACCTGCTAAGTACCCCTTTAAAATAAATGCAGTTGCAGTCATTGAAGTCAAGCCACAGAGATATTGAATCACCTCAAAGCCTGCACATTATTGGCATTTCATTTTCTTACCAGCATTGTTTTTCTGGAATAATTTTCTGTTCTGAGGATGTATGTGCCAGGTAATATTTGACTTCTAGGCTAAATAGAGAATATAATAGATAACCTGTAACACTGTAGTTCTCCGCACAGAGAAGTATGAAAAATCAAGCATGTCATGTCACCATATTGTGTTCTGAGTGAATTCTGATAACAGCACTATGTTTCTGTGATTATTCTCTAGATAATAATGTACCTGTAAATAAAAAGACCAAACACTGTTTGAAAAGCTTTAGCTGCAGAATCACTGTTGCACCTTGCCTACAGTTTCCAAGGCTTGCATATGCATTTTGGGATACCCAAGATCTGTTCAGTAATCTTTTTGATCCATTGTCTTCAATAGAACAAATTTAGTTTCCTCTTTTTTTTAGCCTCATTGTGGAAAAAAAAGAGGTGATTTGTTTGAGGCAGTGTAATTTATTTGGCTGATTTTAATAAAGCTGTTTCTTTTTCAGGGTTTGCTGATATCACCAGTGGAAAGGTTAGCCCTTACGTTTTACATCGAGCCACCCTAAATCCAAGAACCAGTCCCCATCTGGCTTCCCCAAGCGAGAAACTGCCTTTGCCTGCGCACGATGTACATAAACATAGACCAGATAATCTTGGTGAGCGCTCCTCTTCGACATCTGGTGGCAGCAAACCACAAAAGGTACCTTAAAACTATACATCTGGGTATGAAAGCTCTGGGGGAAACTAATACATACATAAAACGTGTTCATCTTGCCAAGTAAGTTTGAGGATATATAAGGTGGTAAAGATAAGATCATAGGTACTGAACCACTAAAATGTGACAGGTTTTAGCAATCTGCAAGTTGTTCCCTTGATGTAATCTGTGACTTCATAGGGAAACCCACCAAGTAATGCAGATTAAATACAGGTATATTTTCAGTTTCTTATGATGGGTATTAAAGAGCAGATATTCCTCATACTGTGGTTTCTTAGGTTTCAGAACATTAACAGTAAAAGAATGAACCTCTGGGAGTCTGAATTGATGCTTAATGTTTTCTCCTAACAACTTGTCTTGGAATCTCAGCTTCAAGATGTGGTAAAATAAGTACAGCTAGTTGAGAGGCTGTTAAACACATAAATAGGGAACATTTAGATGGTAAAGAAACCAGACTTTCATGTTAGTGCTTACCAGATTTTAAGGTTATCAAACCAAATACCAGAGTTAGGGTTTGAAAGCTGATTTTTAGTTAAAAAGTTGTTCAGTAGCTGGAGTTTGCATGAAATTTCAGTAATATGGCACACTGCTGAGTGCTTCACAGAACATCAGCAAAACATGGTCTTTCCAAGCTGGTGCAAACGCTTCACTGATTAGAGAGAAATAGAGAATATTATGGCAGAAATAAATCGTTTGTTGTCTGAAATCTTCAAAGCTTTTAACAGTGCTATCTCAAGTTGAGCAATAAGAGAATAGCTTTGATATTTTGCTGCTTGTTTACATGAGGGTTGCACAGAAATATGCCACTAGATAAAAATCCTTCCAGTTTGCCACGTTACACAGAAATATTCCCTTGTTTTGAGCTATAGCAATGGGAAATCTATATTTTGAAGTGAGGGTTTCCACTGAATTCATGAATGTCATTTCAAGGGTTAACTACCCTGCTTGCCAAAATTTGCTGCTTATTAGACATTGCCTGGAGCTCTGTTTTATTACTGTTTCATTAAGTGATGCCCATAAATTCCATTTCCACTCATTTATGTATGTTTTCCTGTAACTTTAGAAACAAACTGAGGCTGTTGCTTTTAAAGAAACAAAGTAGTGCAAAAACAAAAGGAAGCCTTGGACACAGAATGTTGTGTAGTAATTGCCTCCCAGCTGGCATAAGCTTGTTGTAGGCTCTCACTGGCCATAGTCAAGGTTACAGCAAATAACAAGCTATCAGTAATAAATTGGTTTTACTTTACCTGGGGGAGGGATTTGCCAAGCAGTTCTCCTCTTTGCCTAAGCTTGTATTGTCTGGGTCTAAGGACAGGCTACTCCTTACCCTCAGCTATGCAGGAGACATTCAGATTTCAGGGTTGTTTTGTTCCACCACCTGTAAATATGCCAAAGTCAACAGTTGCAGGAATGTGTGTCCTCCTCTCTTGGACACTGCTGGATATACGTGTACATCTGGGAATTTCTGGTGGAATTGCTCAGAATATCCTTTCATCGTTTGTTGAAACCATTAAAACATGTTGGTTTATATTTCATGTTAATACAACAAACTATGTGTCTTATTTTAAAAGTGAAATAAGCCTTCTTTCCTTGTCTTTGACAGGTACTTATGTGTACTTCATTTCAGACACTCGGTTGCAAACTGTTGCAAATTCCTCAAGGTGTTTAAAATGTTCCCTGTCATTTTCATATGCAACTTTCTTCCCTTTCCTATGTGAATTTAATGTAGGATTTAAATGGAGTGCTTTGACTGCACATCAGTTAAAATGTGAAAGCAGTGGTTTCTGTCCAGGTGTCAGCAAAAACAGTGACAACTTTGGTTTATGTTTCCAGAATACATACAGAGAAAATGAATTACAGGCCTCAGTGCACAATACAGTATTTGGATACAATACGATACAGTCCATCATATTTGAAAAATCATGGCAGTCAGGTGAAGTTCCAGATGAGTGGAAAAAGGGTAATGTAACCGCTATGCTCAAAAAGGGGAAAATGGAAGGGCCATGGAACTACAGACCAGTCAGTCTCAGCTCTGCATGGCAAAATCTTGGAGCAGATTCTCCTGGAAAACACATGAAAAACCATGGGGTGCTTGGTGACAGCCAGCATCCCTTCACTAAGGGGAAATCCTGCCTGACCAATTTGGTGGCCTTCTGTTATGGGGCTACAGAACTGATGGATAGAGGCAGAGCAGTTGGCGTTATCTACCTGGACTTATGCAAAGCATTCAACCTGTCCCACACAACATCCATGAGGATGATCAGGGGCTTGAGCACCTCCATATGAAGACAGGCTGAGAAAGCTGGGGCTGTTCAGCCTGGAGAAGAGAAGCTGTGTGGAGACCTCAGAGCAGCTTCCAGTGTCTGAAGAGGCCCCACAAGTTTGCTGGAGAGGGACTCTTCATCAGGGACTGTAGTGACAGGACAAGGGGTGATGGGTTCAGGCTTAAACAGGAGAAGTTTAGGTTAGATATAAGGAAGAAGCTCTTTACTGTGAGGGTGGTGAGGCATTGGAACAAGTTGGCCAAGAAATTGTGAATGCTCCATCCCTGGCAGCATTCAAGGCCAGGTTGGATGGAGCCTTGGGTGACATGGTTTTAGTGTGTGATGCCCCTGCCCATAGCAGGCAATTGGAACTAGGTGATCTTAAGGTCCTTTCCAACCCTAACTATTCTATGATTCTATACCTGGTACCTTAGTAAGCAGATTGGGTACTGTCTGTTCCTGGTTTAGCTTTTCTCTGCTTCTAGCAAAATAGCTTGCCAGCTGTGTTGCAGATATTCCATCTTACAGCACACTGAAACGATATCAAGTCTTAATGTATTGTATGTTCAAAGTGATGAGTGTTGTCAAGATATTTTCAATATGTGTATAGATGGTTTTTGCAAATTCCCAATGTTTAGTCCTTTGCAGTGAGTCTCTTGACCCATGGTTTTCTGTTACCAGTAAACCAGGACATTTTCGTTTGTGTTACAGGTTTATGGTGAAGAAAAGTCCCAAGCACTAACAGCTTTGTCACCAATGCAATCTACTTCAAGGTCACCACTTTGCCCATATAAGCAGTCCACAAAAAGTGCCTCTGATAATACCACGGAGAGTCATATGATGCACAAAGCCAAAAATTCTCTAAACCAACAAGGACTACCTGAGCAAGAGGAGCAAAAAGAAAACTGTAAGGTGCAGTAAACTGGTGTGGACTCCATCACAATTCAGAATAACTGATGAACAAAACCCAGTTTGTGAAATAGCAGAACTATACAGAGGGCACCATTTTCTCTTATCCAATGGTGAACAATAGATGGGTCCTTCAGGGCTTGTTCTTGAATATTTACTAACGCCAATAGTCACTCAAACTTATGGAATGACGAAGAAATGGGTATAACTGAACTTCTGTAGAACTTTTGGTAGGTAATTCTTCATAGATCTGTTAAAAAAATTAAACTCTGGAAAAAGTGGACTACATGTTGCCACAGTTCATTGTTGCCATGTTTTCTGTGTGCCCAAGGTTGATTTACAAATGGAAACTAAACTCACTGAAGTATCTTTAAAGATATTAGGTTCCAGGACAAATGAGGCAACCAGTATTGGATAGTTCAAAATGAAGCAGTGACTTCATTTGTGATTGAAAAACCAGATATAAAATCAGATATAAGACAATTCAGTGCACAATTCCAGTGCGCTGGTATCCCTTCTTCCAGGTGGAATAACATCCTGCAAAGGGGGATGAGACCCAGTGTGAACAAACTCGGAGAGGACTGTCTGTTTACCCTGAGACTAAGCACCTACCAAACCATTTCTTTGTATTTCCCAGTATGTACTGGCTTTGAATGTACCTGAAGGTCTTACAATGTTCATCTTCACCTCTCCAAAATGGCCCTTGACTAGCCAGCAATCCTCAGCAAGATGAGGGGAACACTATGAACCAGAAAGGACATCACAACACACTGTGCCTTGCTCTACCAGTAATGGCTGCCCGCTGATTCTCTGCAGGTCACCCTTTACCTTCACAATTCTTGGCCTCAAATGTGTCACTTCATATGAAAAGCACTGCAGACTTGTTCCTGATGTAATGAGAGTGGATGTGTTGGAGAAATGCTCAGGTGTCAAAAATACCTACATAAAACACCTTGAGTTAGGCCCTTTTCATTCAAGAAAAATCCTATTTCAGATCCCAAAAGAAGGTAACTCACCTGGAAATGGCATTTAAGATTCTGGTGTCAACAGTTTAAGAAACTAACTCCATCTAGTTCATGATAGTGCGTTTGAATTTAGGATGATTCATTACAAGTAAGCTCACCACAACCAGCTTGTACTTGTGGATTTCAAAGGTCTAATTTGGCTTGCTCAATAGCATAGAGCAATTCTCTGCAAGAGAAAAGGGTGGCATCAACTAAATCAGTCATTATCCAACTGAACAGAAACTACTTTCCAGTCATTAATATTGCTTATGCTTGTCTGCCCAAGCCAGGTGTTAGGAAAATCAAACTCCTGTACTTGAGCAGTAGTGCCCTAAGACTCCAAATTGCACAGCAGAGAGGCATTTTCACACTATTCTTCCATCAGAAAGATGTTTCTCCTTTCAACAAAAGCGTGTAGTAATGTTTCTGCTTCTTGAAAAAGATTCTTTAGCTTAAAAGTTGACCTTTCAAAGTGTAACAAGTGCTTCTCTAATGCTACAAATATAAAGTTTTACTTGAGTTATTTACATGCAAAGGAGAGTGATTTTCTCTATTTACATACACACTATTATTCTGCCTTGCTTACAGCGTTGCCTCTTAGAATGCAGTTTATGAGAAGAAATAAGCTGCTCAAACTGAAAAACCTCTTGAAGAAATACAGCATTTGTCTCATGTCTAACAGAATATTCCAACCAACAAAAGCCTCACATACAAGCTATTCTTCAGCAACTAGATAGAGCTATGGCTGTGATCAGTAGATCTTGTGGCTTTTTCTTAAGCATCTCAAGCTGTTTGTTAACTGAAGCATTAGGTAATTACAACAATCCTTGTGGCACTATGTCCACAGGCATCTTCCAGGGGAACTGAAAGAGGCCCAACTTAAAGGATGCATTTTGATGGTTTCATCTTCTGTCAGTGTACCAACAAAGCTCCTCATCAAAGTTCAATTATTTCAGATAAGGTTTTGTATCTTCAAATTATTTAGGGATCATGTGTGGAATTGTAGCAATCCTTTAAAAAGCTAACACTCCTCAGGTAGAAGCACGGGTGTGAAAACACATTAGTAGCAAATAATAGCAAAAAAAACCACCCCAAACTGGTGTGATTTTATTTGTCCCAGTGATTGTTCTATTTTAATCCTATGCCTTGAAAAGTGTCCCACTTGGAGATGAGTGTGGAAAAAAACATCTATCTTTAGAAAGCTGCCTAATCTTAACCAGACAAATTTAAACAACTATGTTATAAGTAAATATTACTAGAAGAAAGGATTGAGGCTTTAATAGTTACATATTTTCCCACTTGGCCATGTTTGTGCTTTAGAAGCCTTTAGATTTCAGTAAGCATTTGTGTTTTGAAAGATTACAAAGCCTGTTATTTTCCAGTAACTAGTATGTATTGTAGTACTTAGCTTTTGGCATAGGAGCTAATACAGGCTAAGATTTCCAAGAGATCTTAAGTTACTTTCATTAATACCTAAATCATTTGGAAATGGGATTCGATATTCTACATCCTATTGCAAACTGATGAGACCACAGGTCACAATTCATGTAGGGTTCTGAAAGGTGTATCAAAACCTTAATATCCAATCTCTCTGTAAATCAAAATATCTAAGTGTTTCATCAGAATTCCTAGTGAGAGGATTGCATAGGATGTGTTTCCTCAGCGTCAGCTCTCCATAACAAATAAAAGGTCACTTATTATCTGGCTTTGTGATTGTGGAAGTCCATGTAAAGAAGTCTTTTTTTGGTGCGCTGGCATTGTGCTTGGCAAGCTAACCCAATTGTTCCCATAGTGATGCTGTGTTATGTCACAGGAACATGCATTAGCTGGATCTTCCTTTCTTCATTTTCCTGTTTGCACAAGGTTTGCATGGTAATTGGTGTAAAATCTAGCTGCTTGTCCTGGGCTAATTTCAAATGCTTTCTGCTGTGCCCAAAGTTACAAGTTTAGAAGCGTGTCATGGGAATGCTGGTGTCTGTTTGCCATGCGCCCTTACAGCTGATGGAAGGGTCTGGCTGGTTCATGATGTTCAGCTCTTTCTTCAGGCTTTGAACTATTCTTCTCCTTTTTACCTAGTAATGAAAGGAAAACAAAAGAAGATTTGTTTGGCTGCTGCTCTTCCATGTTTATTATTAAGGAACAATATTTGAATTGATCTCTCCTATGTCAGAATTTAAATGCTGCCAGGTCAGATCCTGTCCTGATTTCTGGAGCCCCCTCAGCTGCAGAGCTGAGCAGGAGTTCCCCAAGCCTTGAGCACAGGAATAGCACAGCAGTGGCTGGCCTGAGACAGCCCTGTGCTTCCCAGGACATAACTACTGTCTCATCAACTGCCATTAGGGTAGAGTTTGTACAGAATCTGTAAAAACTAATCCTTAGTTGGGGAAATGCCATTTATCAAACATGGGCCTGTGCTATTTTCTCAAGCATCAGCTTCCAGAAGATGCTCTGCATTGCACTGCAGTTCCACTCCTGTGCACGGTGCTGCCATCACTAATTTTGCTGGCTCACAGCAAGCTCACTCAGAAGAGTCTGCCAGTCCAGTAAAAACCAGTGGCAGAGAAGGATGGAGCTGAAAGAAGAAACCCGTTCTCGCTCTCCAGTTTACTGATCTTGTTGATGTGCCCAATGATTGATGCAAATGTATATACTTTAAAGAGAGGAATCAAAATACCACATGGAGCGGTTATGAATCCAAATCTGTTTTGTCCCAGGCGTGTGTATCAAACAATAATGCTGTATTGCCCTAAAACCTTGACAGAGAAGTGCAACCCACGCCTAATGGGGATTTTCTTTGTGCTTGTCGTGGTTTAGGCTCAGTTAGTACTTGGAACCCAGGACAGTACTATACATTGCAAATGAGTTCCTTTTAGACAGGGAAACACAGCTGAATGACATCAACACTCTGTATTGTAGGGAAAGTAGTGTCACTCCATGGCCGAAGTGCCACCCCTCTGTTCCTGCTTCTGAGGTTTCAGGTGTCTAACCCTAAAATGACTCCAACTCCCTCTGCTTTTGCTACCTCATCCTGAATAGCCACAAACTGCAAAAGGCAGAAGTTTTCTGCAGAAAACAGTAGCTGAAAAAAGCTGTTTGAACTTTGTAAAGCTGTTGACAACTGAATACATGGTGAACCAGTGTGAAAGCAGATGGAAATGGCAGTGTTCAAAAGCAGTGTTGTGGATTTGCTTAATAGACTAAGTATATCTACAGTTCTAGTGACAGGAGATAGGCATATCTCCTCTGATATACATATATTTGTGTGTGCATGTTCTCTGACACGCTTTTAGGCACCCCCAAGCACTTCTGTCAGTGTAGAGTTCAGAAAATGTATGGAGCTTAGAAAAACATGGTGTAGCTATAAACCAGATCTGTTTAGCAGATTCCAGTGCAGCTGGCTTGAACAATTCAGCTGTTGGAATAGTTAGGTGAGTGCACTGATGGGTGCACAGCAACATCAGCAGTTTTCTGTATTTTGCTTTTCTGCTGCTCCATAAACTAAGCAGGTGAAAGCTCAGTGAGAATCTGCTTTCAGTACTGGTGTTTCAGGATTCCTTTATTTAGGAGGCCTGCTGAGTTCCTCATGTAATGAAATGCAGCGTAAATGCGTTTGGCATTGTGAAGGAAGATTGACTTGTTCAAGAAGTCTGTGTATCCGCATCAGATTACAGATGTGTTTTGGTTTTAGAGGCAAAATGGGCGAGTGGGAAATTATTAACTGTAGTTGGGGACTGCTTTGATTTTGTTCACTGCAGAGAAGGGGAAATGTTCTGTATTCTTTTGACCCCATGCTGAAAAATAACCTGTTTTCAGTACTGTTGTTGATACTTAAAGGTACATGTGGCTTCAGTCACTGGCTGGCACTGGGTGATCGAAGATTTTAGTTCTCCTGAGGAGCACAGTTTGGATCTTTTTTAATTAACTTGGATTCAGATCATAGAGGCTGAATGTACTAATGGAAATGACCAATACTTCATCCTCTTGGTTTTTTTTTTCTTGTTAATTCCTTGTGAGAAATTACAGAGGAAAAGAATCCATGTTGTGATTCCAAGATCTCCTACTTGCTTAAGTGCTTCTTTAACTTGGTTAGCTTGGTCAGCTTTTACTCCTCTTTTTATTTGTTTCGTGTCTGGCTTCTGATATTATCTTCAAATCAACAACTTTTCTGCTAAACCAGCCTGTTACATGTGGAACTATTGGCTTATATCAAAGAATCTGAATAATAATCTCCCATTAACTCCACATCCCCTTACACAGTGCTTTTACTATGAATGGGAGGGTACCAAATGGTTGGTTTGTTCAGCTGTCTTGATCCCTATTTCTGGTTTCTTTGACACAGCAGGATGCTGCCTGCGTTGTAAGCATCACTTGAATGTGCTGAAATGACATGGGGGAAAATGGAAGGTTATTGAATCAACTCCAGGAAAGAGAATGGTGCTGGAATAGCTGTTTTCCAACCTCTGTCAACTGGTAAAGGGCTGTACCGTACCCTGAGCTGTAACAAAGGACAGCAAGCGTTAGTGGAGATTTCTTCTCCACTTGTTTCTTATCCCGTATCTCTTCACAGCAGAGGAAAGTGTGGGATTTTACTGGCATTTTAAAGGCAAGGCTCCCAGTTTCAGCCACCACAGTTGCTATTTCTGCATTGCTGCCTAGGGTACATTGTAAAAACTGAAGTGATTGCTGGCTTGGTGTAGAAGGCAGGAGGATTCCACACATTCATATCGTCCCTGTGGTACGCTGGAGATACTTCTATAAATTCAGTAATGTAGCTATGATTATTCTTCTCCTCACCTCTCAATTAACCAGTACTGCACATATTGTTCCCTGTCAAATAGCTTATTTCGTCAGATGCCAGAGAGCAGTGTTGTTCTCTTTTCAAATTGCTGGTTTGATTTCTGGCAGTACTTGATTGCTTTAAAATGTGCTTTCTGCATCCATTTTCCTCAATACTTAATTAACATGGAGAAAAAGCCTGAAATGAAGTTTCAGTTCAGTAGGTGTTTCACTTTTGTCCCCACTATCTCATTCATTTATTTCCTTTAGCTCACTCTAGTGCAGGGACTTCATTTTTCATTTGCAAGAAATTCTGCAGTCTAGATTATCTCTTTTTATAGCTAAATCCCCCTGGAAAAGGCATCCTGTGCTGGGAGGAGGCACAGAGGCAAGACAGAAGAAGAGGTAGGAAAAGCAATCCAATATCAAACCAAAACTGCAGTGAGTGTACGTAAGCTGGTCATTTATTCAGCCAGCCATGACAAAAGGCTGTGTTCAGAACGCATGTAGATGAGGCCCTTAGTGATTTAGTGGTGGCCTTGGCAGTGCTGGGGTAAAGATCTTGATGATCATAAAGGTCTTTTCCAACTGAGCTGATTCTATGATTCTATGCGCCTCCAACAGTGCTGCAGTAACAGCATGAGAGGGGTTAGTCAGGAGTCGCAGCATGTTACAAGAACAGTCTTGAACTTTGCAGGAAGAGTTTAGTTTTAACATTGCAAAAACAGTTTCCATCTATGCTAAATACAAGCACTGCTTTACAAGATTGCAGCTACTACAGCACTAGAAATGCTTCAGCAACATCTGTGGTGCTTCTGTGCCTGTAGAAGAATATCTCTAGGCATCTACAGTGCAGGTAACTGCTTGAAAGCACTTGACTCTCCCTTTCATCCCCCTTCCCTAGTGTGGCCTCTTCTGTTGTAAGCACCTGTGGGAAGATAAGAGCCTGCATGCAGTAAGCTACCATGGAGCAGAGCTCCATAAAACATGTTGCATAAGGTAGCAGCAAATTTACCTTTTCTTTATAAAAATAATGTGGAAGACTGCTACTAAATCATAGCCTGGGCTCTAAAGTTATGCCTACCATGGGCACCCTTTTCTCAGAAGTAAGACACCAGTTTGATGTTCCAGAATTCATTGGAGCAAAAGGGGTTGCTTTTTCTCTATAAAAAGCCCATTTCCCTGTGACACCATGTGTTTGTATATTTCAGCCTTACAAAGAGCCATAAGCTACATACATCGATGATCCAATACAGTCGTCATGGGAGACGGGAAAATGGTGATGAATATGTGGTCCCCAGGTTGGATTCCAGCTGTTAGTAAGCAATTAAACACTTCACCTACCTGAGTGGCAGATGATTGCAGAATGGACCTGACCAGTGTGGGCTGACTTGCTCAAGACTGAGGAAATGATTAATATTACATTAAGAATGAATCAAGTGGGAAATGGATTATGGGTTAATCAATTAGGATTACTAGAGCATCCCCAAGGAATTCTGCTTTATTAAGAGATGATAAACATGATAGCCTCTCTTTGACATGTGGGTATCCATGGCATAAAATGGAGTCTAGAGTCTGTCACATAGAAAGGGCAAAAGATGGGCAGATTTCAAGAAACCTAGGGGGAAAATCTAGAAACTCCAGTTCAGTTGAAAGGTCATTACAATGGGTATTGAATCCTTTAACAGAAAGGAGTTGTTCTTGTTGAAACATATTAAGGACAATGAATAATGGAGCTGGAAACCAATAATGTCCAGTGCTTTGAAAGAATCACTTTTCTAGCTCAGTGCTATATTAGTTCTGAACACTACACCAGTGCTCAGAACATACATAATCCAAACTCCTTGTGCTAGGGATTTCTGTGTGCATATGCTTTGATAAAATGACAGATGAGATTTGCAATCTGCAGTGTCAGGGGTTTTATTTTTGAGAAGTTTATGGCCTTAATAGACATTAAGAAATGCCCAAGAACAGTGAAAAGAGCAACTTCAAAACCTCTTCCATAGCTCTAAATCGATTCTTGTAATTTCTGAACTAATTTAAAAGTCATTAAAAGCTGTCTGCAAGGCTGCTCTTTCTAAATATTATAGGGTAATTTTCTATCTTCTCTGCTCTGTTTTGCTGAGTTGACTGCTAAAGTGAACCTTCACCAAAAGGGAAAAATCCAGTACAGCAGCCAAGACTATGGAAGGCTGAGGACTCTGAGAGCTTGTGGCCGGACCTGCATGGTGCTGAGATTTGATCCTGTGTTCTAACTATGTGACTGTCACCTTTTCCTCTCTTTGCCCCCCCTCTAGATCTCATTTGAAGCTTGCTGACATATAACTAAAGCATAGCCTGGATCAGGCTTAGTTGCAGTGCTGAAGTAATCAAAGCTGTAAGCTATGCAGGTGTAAAGAGTATGTTGTCATCTGTTTGTATTTCACAGAATCACAGAACAGTTCGGGATGGCAAGGACCCAAAGATCATCCAGTTCCAACCCCCTGCCATGGGCAGGAACTCCTCACACTAGACCATGTCACCCAAGGCTCTGTCCAAGCTGGCCTTGAACACTGCCAGGGATGGAGCATTTACCACTTCTCTGGGCAGCCTGTGCCAGTGCCTCTCCACCCTCACTGTAAAGAACTTCTGCCTTGTGTCTAACCTGAACTTCCCCTGTTTAAGCTGAAGCCCATCACCCTTTGTTCTATCACTACAGTCCCTGTTTCCCAGTTGTCTCAAAGTATGGAAAGCCTGGTTTACACAGGAAGGTACCTATGTACTTGTAGAGTCATACAGTCATAGAATAGTTAGGGTTGGAAAGGACCTTAATATCATCTAGTTCTGCTGGTATTCGCCTCTGCACACACAGCTAAATGTGCATATGGAATGGGAAGAACCAGAGCAACATTTCAGTCTACTTGGCTGTGCAGTATTTCCCTTGCCAGAGCAGGCAGTGAAAAGAGCATGTCCAGCTAAAACTTAGATAAAATTTAAGACACTGAGATGAAACTATTCATGCTGGAACTTTTATAAATATTAGCCATGCCACTTTGCCAGAACTGAAGATTCCTTCTTTAAGTCACATGCAGAAGAGAACTCGTTTCACAGGACATTCCCCCTTCTGCTTATGGTGGGGCCATTGGGTCAATACTGGTTTGGAAGAAAGCTTCCACATACCAGCTCACTGACATATTCTTGTGAGAAGAATAAACTTTGGGTCCTGTGCTCATCCCAGAGCAGTCATTTTCATTTTTACTGGTTTCCTTTAAAAACTTTCCCATGTGCAGTATCTAATTATGGTACATTACAAAAACCTGTGTTTCAATGGTACCAGTGCACAGTGCTGAAAGGGACTGTTGGTAAATTGCTTATGCACTTTGATGATTAAGCCAGTAATTATTGCATTAGCAATCTAAATCACTCTTTTCAGCTGATGTATCTCCTCCTAAGGCAATCCCAGGAGATGTGATGGGCTGAGTAGAAAGGATATGGCACTGGAAGAAGGGAAGCACAAAGAACATGCAGGAGATAGTGCCAGGGATTAAGTGGAGGTGCTTTCTCCTGTGTCTGGTTCAGTGTGACTCAGGGTGGTACATCAAAGGGGTGTGGTACATCAAAAAGGATTTATTATTTCCCTTAGAAATGTTAAAATAGACATTTCTAGTGCTGGCTGTGAAAGGCCCCGTGATGCTTCCTGCCAGGTCTTGTCACTGACGTTATACTCACACAGTAATCAAAGCAAATGATTTTATTAGGTTGAGCAGATCTTTTATAAGAGCATGTAGGGATGGGACAAGGGGGAATGGCTTTAACCTGGTAGAGGGGAGATTGAGATGAGCTCTTAGGCAGAAGTTCTCCCCTGTGTGGGTGCTGAGGCGCTGGCACAGGGTGCCCAGAGAAGCTGTGGCTGCCCCATCTCTGGCAGTGTTCAAGGCCAGGTTGGAACCTGCTCTAGTGGAAGGTGTCCCTGCCCGTGGCAGGGGGCTGGAACTGGATGAGCTCTAAAGTCCCTTCCAACTCAAACCAGTCTGGGGCTCTCTGAGTAAGATGCCCTTTCAGCTTCCACACCACTGTGCCATTCAGCTGCCTATGCTGTTCCATGTTCCTGTACTGAAATGTTTGGTAACATAGCTGGATGTGTTACCAAACATCACCCCCTCACCTGAGGTCAACCATTTGGTGTCTTTACACTGCATTTTTTGAGAATGAGCACTTTAGGATCCTCCAAAAAGCGAAGGCATAAAGCAAGTTTCAGACACTGCTTTGCATCTTCAGGAGCTTTTGGCTTTATATGATAAAACTTCAGGAAATAAGCTACTTGGGGCAGTTTGCTCCCTGGAAGATAGATGGGCACCAGATCCTTCACCCTGCAGTGTTGTTTTCCCATCAATGTCCTGAAATGATGCACTCGCAGACCCATTTCAGAGGCTATTTCAAGCCCAGAAGTGATATTTTTCTACCCTCATGGATTCAAAGAGCTACACTTTTGCCTGTACTTCTTAGCAAGAACCAGCATGGTTTTCTCTTTTTAAGGAAATATTTCTCATGGAATTGATAGCTTCTTCAACTGCATCTGAGTATGGATCAGGGTTTGAGCTCACTATTATGGGCAAATATCACCCTTGTACTTCTAAAGGTGTGTTTTATACCTACTGTTGGATTTGAGCAAGTGGCTAGATAAGAACATTTTTACAAGCTTTCCTGCAAGGAGACAAATTCATTGCCACTACCATTTCACTGTTTGCTCTGTGGGAATTTATTACTGAAAATCCAGTTTCTTGATAAGTGTGCTCAAAAGTAATGCAGTTCTAAAACACAGAGCACAGTTTGAACCTCCAGGGCTGGGTAGGTGAAAGGAGTCCTCAGCTGAAGATTTCTAAGCAGAATGCAGAGGTAGTAAACCAGTGTGAACAGCAGAAATAAATCTTGATGGGAGCAGTGGTGCATGCTTTCTCCTGGGCACACTACTTGAAATGGTGTGTTTTAAAGCAAAGCAAATTGCTTCTCAGGTATACCTGATGAACCACATTGAAAATTGCCTTGGGCTCGAGTTCAGTGAAAGAACTGCTCTCTCTGCCCTACTTTACACCAATAGCTACGCCATGTTGTTACCTAGTGCATAGCATCAAAGCTGAAGGTGCTGGTCTTTTTAAAAGGCTCTTGTCTTTGAGGCACTGTCCTTTATGTGTTTCCTATAGTCTTTCACTCTCTCCTTGTCTATGCAGTTACTTCCCCCCAAACAGGGGAATTAGGCAATTAATTGCTTTCTCCTTCCCCTCTGTCACAATGTAACAGCCCATTCAGTGTATAACCTTCTCCCTGGAAGGGTGATGGTGCTACCCTCTTAAAGCTGGAGAAGAGGCTATAGGTACTACAGCCATAAATTCCCTGGTAAGAGGTAAGGACTGATCGGCTGAACATGGACATTGGGTCAGGCAATGCAGATGGATGAGTTTAAGCACCCTCGTGGTGCATGAAGCAGCAGTAGATCAGAGTGCAGGTTGTTTTAGGGAACAGATCTCAGACACTATGCTGGAGTAAAGTGTCAGCAGGAGTTTGTGGAGGGCTGTTGGTTTTGGATAGAAAGCACACAGAAGAGCAGAGCCCAGAGAAGACAGTACCCAAATAACAAGCTGGAAGGCATCCAGCATGGGTAAAAAAGAGAGAACCCTACCAAAACACTGCAAAGACCTTGACAAATGTTTCCATCTCCTTATTTTGTCTGTGTGGTCCAGAAAACAGTGATAGTGAATAAAAAGTATTTGGTTTGAAGACAACAAAATGAAAGAGACAAATATATTTTTGTAGGACAAAAAGTCCACTCGTTCTGGAATTCCCTTCCAGCCCCTGGCCAATTCACTTTTAAAGCTCTCAAAGCGATTCAACTTCCATTACTTCTCTTATGGGAACTGTGCCTGTTCTAATGAATTGCCCACCAGCTTCTCATGGCATGGGTTACACTCACACTCCTCAGTTAATCTCTTCAAAAGATGCTGCTTTTTCCTGTGCATGCTACAGACTTCTAATCAATAGAGGCAGTTTTGGTCTTCTTCCTTTCATCGTTGCATGACTAAACATGCAAATGTGTGGTTTAAAAAATCCTTTAAATCTGTTCTTGGCCAATTAATTTTACTCCTCTTTGGTGAATTTCTTTATAAAGTCTTCAGACAGTATTTTTGGAGAGGAAAACAAGAGGCTTAAGCTCTCCTAAGGTGCAGAGCAACACACTGAAATATATCAAACATGTTGCAACAGGATATACTAAAAATCCACTACTGTTTACAAACTTCTCCTTCTGGAAGGAATCAAGGATCTTCAGTCTCCTGTTAAAGGATTCTCGGCTCTGTTTCTAAGGCACTGAGAGCCTTGCAAGAGTTGACCTCGCAAGCATGTTCAGCATCCCCTAGTCAGCTGTAAATTGCATATCCTCACACTGAGGTGCATTGCTGATTTCTCTCCCACAAAACTGATTTAAAATTCACTAATTTCACATCGGATTATTCCTCACACACTTTGCCACCTACTGACTGTCAGTCAGACCAGCATCTAAACAGATACCAAAACACCATCTCTCTCCTAATTGTGGCACTTTAAAAGACCAAATAACCTTCTGCATTCTAATTATCTTACAATTCCTTTGTTGGTTATTTATGTGTCATGCAAAGCACACGTGTAATTTCCACATGGCTGCTGCTGAAGAAAGTACTGTTCTAAATGGCAGCATTCCAAAGCTGCAGAAACAAATAAGCAAAAGTAGCCCATTTAAAAGCCTCGCTATGCCAGCTCCTCAGAAATGTTCCCACCTGAATCTGCTGCAGTAATAAGAGCTTTAGAGTGCAAAGTCCAAACGCCTGCCCATGAATCCTCTGGATCATCAGACCAAATGAAATGCCTTTTTGTATAGAGGCCTTTGAAGTCAGATCTAGAGGAGGACTCGGGCATCAAATCCCTGTCAAGGCTACAATTAGCAGCCTGACCCCTTGCAGGACATGGGAGAAGTGTGGGATGAAACAGACCCAAGCCCCATGCATTGGGCAGGGACCCTCTAACAAGCACTTGGCAGGCAATGCATGTGGAAGAGTGTGACTAAACTCTTGAACCTACTGTGGCTCTTGTGGTTCTGTTCCAGGCCCGTAGGAATGTGTTTTTCTTCCTTGTTTTTTGATTTACTACAAAGACCGTAAAGAAGAAAGAATTTACATTTCATGGGCTTTGACCAGTCTGGGATAGCAGCAATAACAATACAACCGCTAATACCATCTTCTCTGTGAATGACTTTCAAGAGGAAAACAGCATGTTCTTTCTGATTTTTATAAGAACAGTTGTAAGCCCAGCTCTAAGATCTGGATTAAAACAGCTACAGGTGCTTTTGCTCATCCTGGATAAGATGCCAGACTTGTAGAGTAGACAGGACTGTGGCTGTGTATTTGTGCCTGGCATCTCCTATTGCCTCTCCATAGGCTGCTTCCTTCTTGGCAGGTCAGATGTTCAGATAAGCATTTTGAGCTGTATAATTCTCAGCAAGCACCACATAAGAGGAGCCTTAATGTTGATCTTAAGAGTTTTATACTCTGCTCTGGTGACCAAACTCCTAAAAGCAAGTTATCAAAACCTAAGGTCTATCTTACTGGATCTAGTCACAGCCTGCAAGTCTCTCTTGCTGGTCTACTCTAGAACATAGCAAAAAAGTGCATCAACAAACATTCTTTGTAAACAGGTTTTACATAATTAAAGCCATTCTGCATGTTAAGTACATTATCTATCTTTTAGAAACCTAATTAGACTAATAGACAAAAATGTACAGAAGAAATCTCTCTTTACCAGTCCTTCATGGAAAACACGCTTACTGCTGCTTTTGAAGAATTAGTTTCTCCTCACCTTGTATTAAAACTGCACAGCAGTCAATCTACCACAACTTGTTGCTCAGCATTGATATACAACATTTCTACTGGAGGTGACAGAATAGTTAATAATAGATGTTTTTTTGCTCACCTCATCAAGGATATGCCTCTTGCTTTTAATGTGCATTTCAAATACATCTTCTAATGCCCTTAAAAAAAAGAATGAAAAGCAGCATCACTGCAAACAAAGATTGTTCAAAGGCCATACACTTCCAAATGAAAGCTACCACTCAGCCCGTCTCTCAGATCACTCAAAATACATCCCAGCTTCTCACTTTTGCCCTGTCCTATCATACCTGTCACTGGATTTAAAAAATACAATCTTAAACATTTGAAGGTTGTTGAATATTCTCATTGCAAGTGCATGCAGTTGGACAGGAACTGTGTCTCACATACACAATTCCAATTTCTCCTTCCACAGTCAATACAAATATAAGAGTATTAGTGCTCTTCATCCCCCTCTGCATCTTGATGGGGCCTAAATCTTTCTTGCTTTTGTCAAGCCCTGTCCCACCACATTCGCTGGGTGAAAATGCTGAGGGTACTGGACAGTCCTGCAAGCAGCTTCCTAGATTCACGCATAGCTGATATTCCTTTGTCTGGGATACTGTATTACCCCAAGGACTTTAAATTGCCTCTATCCAATACTTTGTAGACCTCTGAAGGTCATTTGCATTGTCTCTGCTTTCTGGCTTCCTTCTAAGGGAAACACGAAAGGCTGAACTTTCATACTTCTGTTAACTAGGGGTATCAAGGAAAGAGATGCCTTCAGAAAGTGCTCTCAATATCCTTTCTTAATGGTGTATGATCAGCTGCAAGCAAAAAACGTGCTCAGAGTGATGAGCATCAGTAAAAATAAAGACCTAACTGAGCAGCAAAATGAGATCTCCAGGTTCTAAAATCATAACTCGGGTAAATATAACCCAATGGCTGCATTTTCAAGCAATCATAAAAGCTGAAAATACCTGCAGTGAGCTGGAGGGCTCAGCAGAGCTGTTTTGGCGCTATACTGTATTTTTGAATTGGGAGGGCATTTATGATTTTATCTGTAGAGAAACTGGCCTAAATAAATGGAGATATTAAAATGTGTCTATCATATTAATCAGACAGCAAATTAGCTAAAGCCATTATTTGTGTCTTTTCTAGTCTGTCACTAAATCGATTTAGAAATTCAACTTGTGATTTGAGACAAAAGGCTACTATTGATTGCTCGCTTTTATTCTGCAGAGAAATCAAGTTGTTATTAGAGACTACCTAAGAAAACAATGGATGAGTTTTAATAACCTCTGGTTTTGAGGGAAGAGTGCACAGCATCTAAACAACCTCCATCTAAAGTCAACAGAGCAGTCCTTTCACCCTACAAGCCTGAGCATGGGCACCTTGGTGCCCCACTGTGTTATGAGCTGGGCTGAATGTAGAACACGACTCACATCATCCAGGTACAAGTTTGTGTTCTCTCATTTGGTTTTCATTATCTATAGACAAACCCCCTTATTTTTCTGAAGGATACTAATCCTGTTAATATTGTGGCTGGCACACAGTAGGTTTTTAGGGGTTTATTTTAATGTTATCTTCTTGTTAACTGTACGTATGGGCAGGCATGATACTTCGCAATGTTTAAAATGTGTGGTGAGTCAGTGTTTTTCAAATCTACTGATGTTTCTCCCAGTGTAACCAGAAAATTCACTTCTAATTTGGGCTTTGAAGTTGGAAAGCTGCTTCAGAAGGAAGGGGAAAACTATTACCTTTAACTGACCGCTCAGAAAACAAACTAATCACTTGTATTAATGGGCACTTAAAAAAGAAACCCAACAACATTTGAAAGAGCCTTAGGGATTTTAACTGAAATCCTCTAGATTGAAAGGGAAGCATCTTGGTCTGGTGTCAGACTGAGCTTGATTGATTTCAGCGGGTTAGCACCTCTCCAGCATCAAAGCACAGCACTTGACAAAGACTGAAATCTTAAACACTGGGGTTAAAACCTCTATCACAGGAAGAGTTTCTCCCACTTAGGATGCAGGCTAGGAAATGGCACAGAAAAGGAGCACACAGTTACAAGTCTACAAACAGACCTGTGGTTCAGCACAGCTCTCTAAGCATTAGAGATGTCATAGATTTCAATTAGAAATGGTAGTGTGAAGTGGTGCACGTGTGTAACAGGATCTCATGGACAGAACATGAAACCAGAAAAGGATGCTGCAGTTAGTCACCAGCAGCACTGCTTGCATTTGGCTCTAGTCTTTATGTCTTGATCATTAACTTGATAGTGCATAAGTCCTTAAGAAAGCAATTATTGCATTTATTTAGTTTGCTCTTATAGGAGGGAGGAAGAAGTCTAAATACAAAATCTTGCTTTGATGCAGTTTGTTAGCAAAGACCCATTGCAGCTCCATGGCTGCACTGGATTGACTGGGAACTGGAATGAGACTCTGGTAACAATAATGTTTATCACCATACTATACAAGGTCAAAGCATATGATGTTTCCATATTTCTATTAGTAGCCACTGGGAAATATGAGGGTGGCTGAAAACACTTTCTGTTCAGCTACTCAGCTGAAATCCTGACTCCTATAAACCACAGTCACAAAAGTATTCATTAAATTCAACTGATTTCAAGTTTCACTCAAATCTCGTTAAAACCACCAATTCTTTACACTGATTGAATGATTGTCAAATATCTGTTACCCAGTGGAATAAACAAGAAATTGGAAGCACTTACTCTTTGTGAAAACAACTTCTAATCAAAATATCATTAGTAAGATCTTGTAGAAAGTGAAGATACTCTTCTTCTCTACACAAATACACAAGCTGTCAGCATCTTTAACACACACTGAAGACAAATAAGGTTTAAAATGCCAGCTGAAGAGGTAGCAGGTTTAGAGTGATTAAACCAACTCAAATAAGGAATTGTGTCAACATAGCCAAAAGTGACGAATCTATTTAGTAGTCTGCAGTTTTTACTGTTTAGGTTTATACTTAAAATGACTGGTTCTGTTGGCCAACTCCCTGATTACTTTAAGCCATTAATTTCATTAACCAAGAATATCTATGCCTTTTGTGAATACTCAGTTAAAAATAGTCCCAATGCACAAAGCGTAAGTATCAGAAGATAAATTATTATTTACACTTTTTATTTATTTGTTATGTACTTATTCTTAACATACCTAGTTTGCCTACAGTAAGAGGGGTGGCATGACTCTGAAAATCTCTTCCGATCTTTACACTTCCCAAGCACACAGCTAAATCCTATGCCCCTCATAGAGTCCCTTCTGCTCACTGCATACAGCCATTCCTAATTGGCTCTTGTGCCATGTTTTCAATGTTCCTCTAGATTCCTACTTTAATATTTTGATAGGAAACTTAGTTAAAAGGGACAAACAAATATTTAGCTTACGTTTCTTCAAGTTGTGATCCTGAAGAAAGTGGCATTTCAGAATCAGGAATCCATAATTCATAGTTCTGCCACAAACAAGTAAAGAGGAAAAGTAGATTTTGTTATAATCATCTTTGTATTAATATCCCACATTTCCATTCAGAGCACCATGGGAACTGATCTGATTTCATAACATATCAAAATCATAACAGCATCATACTGAACTGACATGCCAACTCATGTGAAATAAATGTCTTGAGTGTCAATCACATATAAATAGTGAAAAACAATTATTATTAGGTAGGTTTGGAAATGGAAACAAGCTTGTATAAGCTAAAAAATGATGCAAAGACTATAAGGGAAATCAGAAGTTCTGACGTAACAGAATATATTTGCAGACTTCAGTGAAATAACGCAGCTTTTTGTTTAAAAGGACATGAAAAATACATTTGTATCTTTGAAAGAAGACCTAGGAACCCAGACTGATATAGAAATTATCTTTTTCTGCAGATTATCAAATGGGAATAGGATTTTCTCTTGGTAATGTTAGAAAAAGAAGGTTTTGGTGGTTGGAACAAGGAACGAAATAGTTCTAGCTAGCAGAGGGCTATCACAAATCCTGCCTGTGGTGCCTTGGCTGAGCTGTGTAGGAGTTTAACACTGCTTCTGTAAAGGGGCGAGCGGGCCAAAGAATCATACAAAATTTCCCTGTCATGCATGGTTTGGCTACACTTATTGAGGAACCCTTATTCTTTCTTAAGAGCACTAAAATTCCCAAAATTAATCCCCCATTAATCTTAAAAAATCCAGGCAACTAATGGAGTGCAACTTCCAAAGTCCTGTATGGCATATACAGCACTGACTGTTGGCTGGGTGATGAGCACTTTGGTTGCACATTTCTGGGCTCCAAATTATTATCTGGATGGAGTGAAAGGCTGTAAATCACAGAACCATTCGGGTTGGAAGGGACCTCTGGAGAGCACCCAGTCCAACCTCCCTGTCAAGGCAGGGCCACCCAGAGCAGGTTACAGCTGAAGCAAGTGTTTGAAACCTTAAGTGCAGTGAGGAGGAAAAAGCCCTGCTTTGAGAATAACAGATTTTTGCTGGAATACAGTGGTTTTTCATGCTGCAAAATGCCTCATTTGTGTTTCTCAGACCAATTACGTTACCTGTTCCTATTTTATTCACAGTCTGTTGACCCTATCTAGCCGTGCCAGCTAGATTTCACAATTTCAGTCTTATAGACTTCTTATGAGATGATTTCATTTTTGGTTTTGTTCTTATATATTCCCCAAAGCCAACGACTGTTGTGATTTAAGCCCAGCTGGCAACTCAGAACCACGCAGCCACTCACTCACTCCCCCACGTGTGCAAAGCACAATGGATTAGCTGGGCTTAAACCATGACAATTATCCATCTCATTTCTACACAACCAAGGCAACTTTTGTGTATGAGCTCCATTCCTTTTCTTTGTAACAAACCGGGTACACCAACCTTAACTAGCTGCTGAGAAAAGCGAACTGAATGTGGTCTCACACGTGCATCTTCTAAAACCCTGAAAGATTAAAAGCACAGTGAAAAGCAGTCATGCTTCAAATGATGTGTTTGAAAGTGAAACGACTTAACTTTTAGCACTTAGGTATAAGCAAAGTACCTGTGCAAGTCTCTTTTCTTTCCATTATTGATGTCTGCTGATTTAAGTGATGGTCTGCCAGGGGAGGAGCTCTTTTCTGGGGAAGGAGGATTATAATACCTATATTTTACAAGAAAAGATTGGTTTGATGTCTTTAAGATTTGGGGTGTAAAACGCTGCTCCTTTGCTGTGAAGTAAACTGAATGTTTGTCAAGGAGGTCCCCAGAGTATGTTTTATTAAAAGAGGTTTGAATTGCCTTCTTCCTGTTGTGACTGCCTGAATGCAGACGTGACTGCAGAGGTGGTGAAACAGGTGATCTGTCTGTCCTAGAGTTGTGAACAGGAATTTGAGACAAAGCATGCTGTGCAGTATTTCGGATGTTCTTTCTTGCAGTAGGAGCTGGCATCAGAGTCCTTGAAGTGAGCTTCTGAATAGATACAGAGTGGGGTTGCTCTTTCTTTGTCCTGTAACAGTTGTTCTGACCAGACATCAGATATAGATGACCATTTTCCAACAGTGAGCAGCTCTCCTGTAAGTTAAAGAACAAAATAACTGATAGAAAAATCACAAAAGTGATGTGCTCGAGACATTGTCTTCTACAAACGGATTCACACGGGAGGAATTCTAAGTAACTGTTTTCAAACTGTCTCAAGTGCTCAAAGTGACTTGCTGAGTTTCAGGAACCACAGTCAGGAGTAAAGCCACCCTGCCATTGTGCTAAAGCTAAAGAGACCTGTTTCTAGGTTCTTTTGCCTTCCTTCTCTTTACCAGGTTGAGCTTGCTAATGACAAGTAGTCTTGGGAAATTACATAGAAACATTCCATTTTGCTTGCGAGGGCCCATAAAGGGAGAACAGGAGGTTTTTCCACCCTTGGACGTTGTGCATTCTCATTTATGGAACTAACGTCTCAGTGGCAATCTCAGGGGCGTCTTCCATTCTCCCTCCTTGATGCCCATGCAGGTGTAAGCAGGACTCCATCTCGTGAGTTTGAAGTCAAACAGAACCACTGTTATCCTCATAAATACCACTGGTGAAATTGTGGCCTGTCATTTCGCTGTTTATCTTTGTGGGGCACAAAGTTTTACAAATGAAAACAGTGCTCATGTTTGAACTGGATGGCATTCTTTTGAAACAGCATCATTAGTAATCTAGCGGTAAACCCACTATAATTCTCAACAAATTAGAAAGTTTTACAATATAAATATAGCCTGCTGAGGAATTTCTGCCCCCAAGAGACAGTGGACTATGTTACAAGGAAATGTTTTGCAAGACTTTGTCTATTGAGGTGATGTCCACTGGCAGAATTTGGTGAAGAGCGGGCCTACTCACACCAGCATGAGTTTGTACAGTTTCTGGTATCTGGCAGAATATATAGAATTAGGATTAACTACTTTGAGGTCTTGCTTTTACCAGTAAATACCATTCTGAAACTCAGAGAATACTGTAAACCAGTGTCAAGTTATTGAATTGTGTGATAAGAAAATCATTGTGATTTAGTTCTCTTGCAAATACTGTGAACAGAAATCATCCTGATAAGAATGTTATCACGCACAGCAGCAAATTTCTGGGCACCTATGTAATACTTAATTAAGAATTCTAATTCCATTTGCCCAAGGAACAAAGAGAACTCATACAAGTTTGTGAGTGGCACACACATACCCATGCTGTCAGCGCAGGGACATATTTTAGCCATGCACATGTAGTCATGACATGGGTACCTGCCATTGTAGGCCATGTAGTGATAGCAACAGTTAGGTGAGAGGATAACTGCCAGTTGCTAAAGCTGAGAGTCAAATCTTATTTCATTTTGACTACAGTATAAAAAGCCACACTGACTAAACCTGCACTTAACTGCTCTTACAGGCATGCCTCAGCACCTCAGAGTACAGCTAACTAAGGGAAGCTGGTCTCTATCATGCATCTCAGCATCACGATACCTTCTGCTGTCTTGAAGAAGCACTTCTGGAGTTCAGCAGTGAGGCAGGAAGACCATGTGCAAGGTTCTTCTTGTATTTCTCAAGGGCTTGAATTAGTCTGTCTCTTTTCTGCTGATCCTTGTCTGTGTATGGAAATATGGAAACACAACCCTTCACACTTCAACCAATGGTCAAGTCATAAGCTATTTCTCTTCACTCTTCTTTTTGCTACTAAAGACTGTTCTGTCTCCTCCTCTTAATACCAAGTAGCAGGCAAAGAAGACAATCACTTTACTCTCTACAGCTGGCACTTGCTGTTTCCATGCCCAGCATTTGGAATAACTTGGAATAAATTCTGAATTTGGAATAAATGCAAGCCAGGACTTCACGACATCGCTCACACATTAAGTAATGAGCTACTGGAGAGACTACAGCAACATTTTGTTTCCACTTCCTGCACACTCTTTTCCCTATCCTAGACAGCAATTGAGTCAGGGCAAAACAGGAGAAAAGCTGAGGCAGTCAAGTAAGGATTCAAGTCCATGTACTAACAGCTGAGTGACCAAAGACAGGCTGCCACTGTGGACTGTGCAGCCAAGAAAGTGTGCTTTTTGTATTGCTCAGGGTGATAAGAGGAGGGTGACTCTTCTGCTAGTACCTCACGCACAAAAAGAAGAGCAACAAACTTAGTCTTCTGGGAGAGGGACTCTTCATCAGTGACAGGACAAGGAGTAACGGGTTTAAAATTAAACAGGCGAAGTTCAGGTTAGATCTAAGGCAGAAGCTCTTCCCTGTGAGGGTGCTGAGGTGCTGGCACAGGGTGCCCAGAGAAGCTGTGGCTGCTCCATCCCTGGCAGTGCTCAAGGCCAGGTTGGACACAGCGGCTTGGAGCAACCTGGTCTCGTGTGAGGTGTCCCTGCCCGTGGCAGGGAGCTGGAGATGAATGATTTTAATGTCCTTTCCAACCCATGATTCTATGTAGGTTAGAGCAGGAATAAAAATATTCTCACAATAAGCATTATTGCTATATATCATCCTACGTATTTTTATATATATTGTATTATACATTAAGTCTTACAAAATAATAAGAAGACTACCTAGGAATAAGAAAGGGATATGACTTACCCACAACCACAGAGGCCCACAGGGATAATGATGGATAATGCAAAGCCTTTCACAATTCACCATCTTTTGTCAGACCCTTACTTTTAGCAGTGTAAACAAGTATGATGCATGACCAAAATTTTCAAGCCCTTTTACCTGCTGCGTGCATTCCAAGCACAGCTCTGAGAAAAGGGATATGAATTACAATGTGCAACAATACCTTTCTCTTTGGAGATGGCATTTAAAAAATCATAGCCCCAGCAGTTCTGCCTTAAACTGAGGATTCACACACAAAATACCAATAAAGTGGGCCCCACTGAGGTCTCACAAGCTGCTTATGGCTCTTCTTGGGTTGAAAATGCAGCTCTGACAGAATTTCCTTGCCCTGTGGAGCTTTGGCACATGGCAGCACACACCAGTAGTGCTGGGCAGTCCAGTAGAGATGTGCTCTGCTCCTTCCCCTCTGGGTGCACCTGCACAGACTCAAACAGGTCATTCTGGAGGGATAGCAGGGATTCAGGTGGGCTGCTGAGATGCGACTTCTGGCAGTGTTATGTCACTTGTATTATACTGACTTACTCCTGACAAAATGCATAATCAGCCCAGGGCTCCCTTACACTGCAATTGTGAGAACTTACAATATGCTGCAAATCCTTTGCTAGTAAGAAGCAGTTCCTCCTCCTCTCAACTGGTGTAATTGCAGCACGTCTCACTAGTGATAACGCTTGAAGCCTGGCAAAGCAGCACTTTCGAAAGGCAGATGCATCAACCTGAATTTAATGTTGTACATTCCTGACTTAGCAAAAGGGTTACAGGGTTTTACTTGGTCTTAAGTAATATTTCTTTTGGAAAAGGAATAGCTGAGACTTTTTTGGGTTTTAATTTAGGAAATCCAAACACTTGGTTACTGCACTAAAGGGTTGGCTCCTCTGGAATTTGTCATGGGTCCTGCATGGGGCACACCATCTCTTGACAATTCCCCTGTTAGGTGGCCTCAAGGCTGTGCCCTAGTCATTGAAAAAAACAAATTTCACTAATAGCTAAACCCAATATATAGTCTCCTGAGGCATGTAATCTGCCTTCCCCATCTTGCATGGACACGAGTTCATAGCATCATCTTATCAAGAAAAACATGTTGACAATGCTAAATCCCATTTGGATGACTGGGAAGCAGGATTATACAACTCACTGGAACAAATAACAAAATGTACTTGCTCAATCGCATTCATGCAGAGATTAATACCTTCCCCTTGTATCTAGGTTTATGTAGTGTCCGATCCAAGTAACCCCCTAATTCTGCTTAAAGATGTTTCATTCTGCAGTCATCTGAAAACTCAGAGGCTAGGCAGCTTGCTGTGCAATAGTACCACCAGTCAGGATACCTGGCTCCTTTCATGGCAGTGCCAATGATCTGTGCCACAGGAATAAGTGACAACCATGCCTGTCCACCGTTCTGCATGTGCCATCCATCTGTGTGCAGGTGAGGCAGGACAACGACTGTCTGCCTGAGGCATGGCTGAGCCTTTGCCAAGCCTTGCCAAAGACAAGCAAATCAAATGTTCCAGGTCAAAGAGGTACAGGTTTTAAACAGACTGTGTAGTATTTCACTGATAGTTTTACTATAACTACGGGTTACAAACATGCCATGTGGCATTAAGCCTATTCAAATAAGTACTGTTCCACTGCATTATAGTTTTGAGTAGTTTAGTAGGGCCAGAATGTCCCATAGCAGCTCTCCTTCCCTTTCTCGAACAGACACCAGACTGTCAGGGTCTGTACATGACTCAGCCACGGGAGCAGACAGAGGTTTGCTGACATGTCTGTAAGGGGTTTACTTGCCTCACCCCCTTCTAGCCCTGCTCTCCCCAGTTTCTCTTTTCTCACTACCATTTTTTCTTATCCATGGTTTTCCCTATGCTCCATCTCACAGTTCCAGGGCTGCTGAGTCTTACTGCTCCCAGCACCCACAGGCTGCCAGTAGTGTCCCAGGCTGCTTCCAGTCTAAGCCTCTCCCCTCTTCCTAAAATGACCTTGCCCTGTGGTGACCTGGCATGCTCCCCAGATGCATGAATGAAGGGACTAAGAATGGAAGTCATTCTTAGGTTTTCAGGTCTGGGTTAGAATGGACCTTAAGATCACCCAGTTCCAACCCCCTGCCATGGGCAGGGACACCTTCCACTAGACCAGGCTGCTCAAAGCCCCATCCAACCTGTCCTGTAGAAGCTTACCATGATTCAGTGTGTCACCTGCAACCTCTCGGGACATGATTATTTTCATCTCTTGACTACTTTTTTGCTGCTTCTGAGGGCATAGAATCATGTGTTATGGCCAATGAAGCAGTTATTTAGCAAAATGCATTCAGAGAGCCTTTCTGTTAAGCTCATTTATTTGCTAATTTATCATCCTTCTAACTGTGGCAGGTATTAATCTATCATGTTATTGTACAATTTCACTGATACCTGTACTGATATCTGGTACTTGTCAGTGTAACAGAAGTACAGAAAATAGAAGGGATTTAGATTAAATTTGGACCTTTAAAAACACAGGGAGATTCAGATAGTATGGCCCCAGCTCTGTTCTCCTGACAGTTCTTGTGGCTTGCCAGTTAACAAAACATCTTGTCTCTCCTCTGCTGCTGCGTGAAAGGCCCATGGATGCAGTGAGTGGATGCAAACTTACTCAACATAGTAGAAACAGTTTAGCTGATAATACTGGCCAATGAGAATGAAACAAACTAAGCAGATTTTTGTTTGATTCATCTATTTTTAATCTAGTGCATTTCGGTTTTATTTATCTTTAGCTGCAATAGTAAAGAAGAGCCAGCAAACACCTTTGACTGATTCCACAGCTGCCTCCTAAGGCAGAAGGCTGTTTTCAGGTCTAAGACTGAATTTTACGGCCCAAGCATGAGGATGGGATATAAAGCTGGAACAGGCTTTCCCCTAAGTTGTTTACCAGATGTTATAAAACTCAGTGATTATAGCTAGAAATAGAATCCACACCTTGGCTCATGCCTTCATTTTCAGCTCAGAGTGGGAGTTCTGGTTTAATTCCTACCAAGTGGTTTTAAAGAGTTGGCTGGTGTTTAACTCCTGATGACTTTTGAAACAACAGGGAAGTTCCAAAGCCGGGGTGGGGTGGGAAGAAGAGCAAAAGTGGTTAATGAACCGCAGGCTGATATCAGTCCTGAGCATAACAACTGACTGGCTGTTACAAGACTCAGTTAAGGGAAATGTGAGCAATGCCAGACAAAAAGCTTAAGAAAAATAGATCACCATTCTAATTTGGTAAGAGAGAGCTGAAAGATTCTGACTGTGGCTGAGTCCAATAAAGGTGTTAGTTTAAAAGACTTGTGTAAGCTCCCTGGCTTTGTTCTGCATGACATTTGGAGTAAGAAAATCAGAACACTGGAATTACACGTATAATTCATTATGGCTAATGGGCAGCTCTGAAAATGCAATTAGAATCATAGAATCATTGAATAGTTAGGGTTGGAAAGGACCTTAAGTGAGGACTCCTTGCAAGGCAGGTGTTTCTAATGCAAGGATCATTTTTAATGTTATATCATGAAATTATTTCAGTTACCTGAAAGACAACATAAAATCATTCCTCCTAAAGCTTAAACAGCTACAGCTGGGGAGCTCACAAACAATAAAGGGGTGATTTACTGTAACAAAGTGATCTGCATTGCTCAGTGAGGTAGATGTAGGCAGGCAGATGTAGGCAAGCAGTGGACTTTCCAGCATGTATACAAGAACATCTCCATTCAGAATGGAATATTCTTCATTCAGAAAATGCAAGCTCTTAAAGGAGGTGAGTCTTATCTGGGAACCAGTGTCTCTGAAAAACATTCATACTTTGTCATAGACAAAGAGCTGTCTGTAATTTCCCAGTGCAGCCAAAACTAGTGTAATATTATTACCTATAAGGAGTGGAAATCTCAGATGGAAATACAGTGAGCCTTTACTGCAGTTTCCTTTGACAGGAGGATGGCTGCTGCTGGAATTATATATCCTGCTCTAAAACTGCTCTGAACTCC